CATATGGATGTTACCGGACTTGTCTAGTGGAGATTTGAAGTAAACTTTATGGAAAAGTCTGCTTTACAAACCTCACAAAACAGGCATTTTGGTGGCAGGAAGGGTGCATTGCAAGATGTGCCTTGGTTGCATTATGGGAAGTGTAGGTTTGCAGTGTCTTTGAAGCTTAAATCATACTATGACCTGAAATTTAAATAATTTTATCTTTTCGAAAACAAACTTGATGTTTTTTTGTTTTTACAAGTGTCTCCAGTTCTTGAACACATCTGCAACACTGAATTGCTGTAGTAACACTTTCACTTTCATCTTGGCAAAACTGCATTCAGTTTTTAATAACAGCTTTGCTACTGGGAGATTTGCTGCAATTTTATGTAATTAAAATTAATATCTTAATGTTTTTGACCACAAATTCTGCAAAAATTACTTGTCAAAAAAGGTCATTTTAGCATATGGTTTTAAAATTTCAGGCATCATATTAGCCGAGATAGTAATCAAAAAATGGCAAATTAATAGAGAACAAGTGCAGACACTGTTGAATAGACTAAAGTAAGAAGTGTTACTTTGTGACCTCAGCTGCTTGTATCCTACATCTTCAAATAACAACAGTCAAATGATAGCTTCAGTGCCATATATGTAAATGTGTTGTGTAAATAAACATGGATATATAGTACTATTTCATTTAATGAAGCAGGTCTCTTAAAAAGTGCATTTCTGCTAGATTTTTGCATATTAGAAAGGTGTAACTAGCAAACAGCAGCCTCAGCGTCATGCCTGTATAACACTATTAGCCAAATTAATCTCAAGAGCTCAGCACTGTCTCATTAATGGTGCCCACTCTCCATTGATTGAAGTTACGCTCTGTCAATAACACAGTAGTTTTGTCTATTCAGGCTGTTGGTTGCCTTGGACTGCATAGCCATGTGCTTACGCAGCAAATCAAGAGGCTGTCTCATTAATTTGCTATTCAGGGAGGTCCAGTTTAGCTGCTCCAGTGGCACCAAGTCATCCTGGTGCACTTTATTCTATCAGTTTGGGTAGGTTACATGACCTTTTGATGTAAATTTGGAAGTTTTGTCTTGTGGTCCAAATTCATAGTTCAATACAAATTTAATCTAAAGAGGAGGAGTTATGGGGGTTTGAGTTGTATGGATGCTATCATCAGTGGGTTTACAGGCTGACATTGAAAGTGACATTATACCCATGCTTGAGCAGGAAAAGTGGTTTAGACCCAGTATGTTGTTATGTTGGTGTTTTCTAGTTAGCATCAAGCAGAAAAAACAAGGCATGTCATTTATCTTGCCGTTATTTCATGATAAAGCAAAGTTCTTGATGTATAAATGTTTTGTACAAATGATGGGATCATTCAACTGAGAATGATTCTTCCTCTTGAGACCATGAATATATACAAAAAAGTCAATTTTCAGACATGTTCATTACAAGCAGCAAGTTCCAGTGTAACAAAATTTAAATAATACAGAAGCATTAAAAGCTGCAATTCCCTGAGTGTCCACTTGAGGCTGGATCAAAATGACCACGTGACCCCATTAACACCCATGTTAAAATGTCCTTTTTGACACCTAATACAAAAATCACACTGAACAGCTGATTTTCTTGTCACTTATTAGTTTTGAGGATAATATAATTAGGGGGGCGTAGTTCTATCACATTCTACTTCTGTTTGTCAACACAGAGGAAAAGATGTTAGTTTCTATTAGCATGCTAAATGTATAAGCTAACAGTTTTGGATGCTCTAAAAGCAGTTCACGTCAGTGGGAAAAATTGTGATGTTTGGCTCATTTATTTCCAAAGATGTGTCAACACTTGCAGTCTTGCAGAAAACCTATCCACATTTTCTAACACAACCAGCAGTGTGACTTGCCAATTTCATGTGAATCATAACAAATAAACAAGCAACAAATGTTTCTTTTATAATGTGACCTATGGTGGAAATGATTGGTTAAATGTTCATTATACTAGCATGCGAATGACTGTTAACTTTGTTGACTGTTAGTGCTACAAGGGGATTTAGAATCGAAGTAACGCTACCAACCATGGATTCAGAGGGACTATTTTTATCTGTACATTTGTCCTATCTAAACGAATCAATTCATGCTTCATACCTAAAACAATGTTTCCATGCAGTAGAAGAAAGCTCTTAGTTCTCTTTTAGAACGTGAAAACATACCAAGGCTGTATTTTCAGACATTATTAACTCATGGAAGTCCATAAATGTCACAGTTCATGTGTCTCCTCACCACTGGCTACATGACATGTTTTGTTTGTTTGTTGGTTTCCCATCATGGATCACCTTGCCCCTGCTGTTTATCGGCAACAAGGCCACTCTGGTTGCTAAGGTGGGCCTGAGGCTCCCTGGCAGCAGAGAGCACCTTTGGGCCCCTGAGCCCAGTGCTCTGTGACGCAGTGGGAATTCCCCAGAGTCTTTATCACCTATACTGGTAGCACCCTGCAGGACCAGATGCAAACAGGGATGTAAAGGAGGGTGAACCCGCTGCACTCAGCTTGGACTTACTCATGTTTGCTTTAGTGAGGAAATTAAGCAGAAACATGCATTTGCTCAAGATTTCTTGTCTTGATATGATCATAGTCTGCAGGTTATTTTGCAAACTTACTCCAATAATTTTCTTGACTATCCCTCAATGCAATCACCAGCTATGATTATACGTTTCTGCTAGTAACAGGGTGTGTTACTTACAATAATAAAGTGCAATCTGACCAGGCAAAATATGTGGTTATGTAAACTTCCTGAGCAAACAGCTAAGGAAGTGTCAGACAGGATTGCCACTTGCTCTCCTGTGACTGGCTGTGACTGTTTTTACACCTTCCTTCTAAATAAGGCAGCAGGCAGCCAGGACATATGACCACCGTCCCAATTTGGGTTCTGGACACAGTATCCATCCATCCATCTCATGATTGCTCAACGCCAATGAAATACACACACACACACACACACACACACACACACACACACACACACACACACACACACACACACACACACTCCCTCCCTTCCTGCAGGTCTCCCATGTGAGGGAGAGCTTGGTCAGGTCAGCCACAATTAGCCAGAGGAAGGCAGATAAAATAGGTTAGTTTACTTACACAATAAAAGCATAACGTATGAAACCCTGAGTAGTTTATTCTAATTAAAGCTCCCATAGGGAACTTTTTGACATTCCTTTTTGACAATAGACTGAAATTCATATTCATGCCTACTAATGACACCCATAAATGAACATGACCATCGGCGTTACGACTGAAGATTTTTAAATCATAATTCTGTTGCCTGAAACCAGTGCATGGGGGTAGGTGTCAGCCATGTAGGTAAAGAAACAGCCCTGTCTTTACTATTTTGTATAAAATGATACTGCCAAAAAATCAGCATGGTAATCGTACAAAAACTAGGCTGTTTGTCCAGCTGCTTGGTTGACATCTACCCCTTTGCACCATTTGCAGGCATCAAAATTTTGATTTAAATCAGTGATGGATTTTTTTTGTGTGTGTAATAAAAAAAGCATTGCTCATAACCTCAATTTCAGAGCCTTTATAACCATGTTACAAAAGTTGGCCAACAGCACTTCTGCTTTTATAAAGGGATATTCCGGTGTAAAATTAAGTTAGGGTCAAACACACCGTGAGTTAGACACCCTGTCAAGAGATGACTGTTGTCGACGACTTGCTTCTCTAGTTATACCAACTTTAGTAACAACCGCAGATAGCAATACAGAGAGCCACACGCTCAACCAAAACGCCACTCTATAGCCACAAACAATGCTCAGAACAGCGCCTAACTTCATTAACAGTACATATAGGGTCCTAACCACAGCATTAGCCATCAAACAGCTTTTTTAGCTTTGCCTGATTTCTTCAGCAAAGAGACTAAACACAACTCACCTACTCTCTTCCAGCAGCCGCTTGTTTGTACGGTGACCTCCGTGCGAGTCTATTGACTGCAGTGGCATGACGCAGCTCAAGGAAGAACATTTATGATCATTTCTTTATCATTTCCTTGAAGTAATAATTATCATATTACTCATTTTGCACTGCAGACGCGGTAGTTCTTCTGCTTTAATGTCTCTGTCTGATTGTATTTCCATGAAGAAATGATCATAAATGTTCTTCCTTGAGCTGTGTCACCCCGCTGCAGGCGATAGACTTCATGAAGACCCCTTTGATTGTTGTTGACAAGATTGATATCAGAAGTCCTTCCCTTTCTTCACTGTGACAGACTAGTGGTCAAGCACAAAAATAACATCAGTCCACAAAGGCCTAAAACTAGTCTTCTTAAACGATGGGCACATGGGCATGAATCAGGATGATCCATACTAATTTCATTGACAGAAACTATGTTTGAATAAAATCTATTTGAGGTGTATTTTAATTTTATAGTTTGACCAATATTCCATCTGTTGATGTAGAAGTGGCAGGGTTTATGACATATACTCAGGAGGTAGAGCGGTCGACCGATAACTGGAAGGTTGGCGGTTTGATTCCCCCCTATCCCGAGTCTGTCCGTTGTGTCCTTGGGCAAGACACTTAACCCACCTTGCTCCAAGTGTGTGTCCTCCACTATGACTGTGAGTGTTGTGTGGTGGTGGTTGGCGAGACCATAGGTGCAAACTTGCAGCCACGCTCCCATCAGTCTGCCCCAGGGCAGCTGTGGATACTAAGGTAGTTTACCACCACAGGGTGTGACTGTGTGAGTGAGTGAGTGAGTGAATGAATGATGTATCCAATGTACAGTGCGTTGAGTTCACTGACAAAAAGTGCTTTAAAAATCTGATGCATTATTAATATAATTGTTATTATACTGCAGACAGTCAGCAAGGGGAGCCCTCAATCTTTGAGCTTCATAGTAAAAGGAAATGTGGTCTTTAGGTGATGAGGTTTTTATTTTGAAAAGTATCTCAGGAAGCGCTTCTAGTGATTCTATCTTGCTTCTTTGCCGCTGATGTGAAGGTGCTGCACCCCCCATCGTTCATATCAGAACTGCTGCTGCTGGGGTCCTGAAACTCCCTCTCTCTCTCTCTCTCACTCTCTCTCTTTCCTCCTCCCATCTCCTCCTCCTCCCATCTCCTACTTTTGAAGGGGGGCGCAGCAGTGAAGTCACAGTGATGTCATTTTAGGATGTGAGAGTCGGGCAAGGTGAGCTGGTTTTGCGGTGAGTGGTGTGTCCCCTCCACGGCCAGCATTGCCTGAACAGAGGCGCGGAGCGGCGAAAGATGATCATCGCCACCGGCACCAAATCAAGCTCCGACGCGCTCCGTGCCTCTCCTCCTCTTCTTGCTGCTGCTGCTTCTCATATCTCGGGCTATGGGGCCTTGATTTGCCTTGATCCCCAAATCAGCCTGTACCACCACCATGCCAAAGGACAAAACATAAGAAGAGTTGCATTTTTAGGGCAGGTAACTTTGACCACGTGCCCCAAAGGTAAACTGGATGGCCATTGCGCAAAGGTGCCTCTACAGCATGTCCAGCGGGGCCAGGGCGCACTGGACGCTACCGGCAGTTCTTGTACTGTGGACTTCTCTCTGGGGGATCGCTTCTTCTTATCCGATTCCGAGCAGGACTAATGCGACTTTATTGGAAAAGAAGTGGGAGACGCTTTTCTCGCGCTCCTATCTGGGTATAGCCGGGGGGAAATCGGAGCTGAACTGGGAGAGTGACTATTTGCAGGGCATCAAAAGAGTGCGGCGACTGTACTGCAACGTGGGCATTGGGTTTCACCTGCAGGTGCTCCCGGACGGCAGGATAAGCGGAGCACACAATGAGAACCAATACAGTGAGTTTGCACCCGGACCCAGAAAAAGAGCGTAACCTTATGCGCGCGTGCATGGCTGTGAGAAAGTTAGCGCGGGTCACTTGTCCTGCATGATATTTAATAAGAGGTGTCGGCGTGGTTGAAAGTTTCCGAAAGCAAAAACAGTGTACTGAGCCTCGCATCCGTGCAGTGCGAAATATCCTCCCAAGCCAAAAACATGACATGAATGCTTGGACCCAGTTTAGACGCTCACTTATTTTTACCCTGCAGTAGGACACACGCACACACAAACACACTCTTAGGACGCGGTAAACTGCACGAACAGGACATCTGAATGCTTCAACAGCACACACATAAAGGTGTATGTTCAGGGAAGAGCATCATCATCCAGTCGCAATGCACCTGCAGGGTTCCACCCATCAGTGCTGCAGAGGCCACCTCTCTCTCCCTCTGTGTGACACCCTCCTAACTCTCTCTGTCTCTTTTAGGTCTCATAGAGATCTCCACCGTGGACCGAGGAGTCATCAGCCTGTTCGGAGTGAGGAGTCAGCTGTTTGTCGCAATGAACAGCAGGGGAAGGTTATACGGAACGGTAGGTTTGTGCGCGCACACACACACTCACACACATCCTGTTCAGTGTAAGATGAGTTCATGGAGCTGCTGCATCCTGTGGGTTTATGAGGACTGTTGTGTTTATTAATATGCTCTGATGATAGGGGAGGGGGGGTCACAGGAGTCCCAATGGAGAATGTTTTAATGTCAAAATGTTCTGCTAAGAGGCAGCGCTTGAGTAGGGGAGACCAGGGCTTGTTGTCACACTTTTAACACTCATATATTTCTTGCAATCAATACATAATATATAAACAAAATGTATACCAGATGAAAGACCAAAGTCTTAGGTATATATTTCGTATTCATGTCATTTTCATATCTTGTGTCAGTGCAGAGTTATAAGCAATCAAACAAAGAGTGTGAACATGTGACATGTTGCCCCACCATCGGGTAAGTTGTCTCACTACATGGGGTAAGATGTCACAGTGAATTTTACAGCTAATAAAACAAGGACAAAATTATTGCTGTTCTCATTTTTTACATGAAAGTGAACATCAAAGTCAGGCACATAAAGTGTTTATCCTTGAGCTAGAAAAAGTCCTTGAACATAGCCATTGAACAGACGTTAACATAAAATATTATGTTTGGAGTTTAGAGAGCTGTCTGACTGTATTTCAGCTGGGGTGAATGTTTTGCAGTACTGAGCTTAAGTATGGTAGTTGACATTAAAGTCCTTTATTGTAACTCCAGATTGATTAGCTTTCACCTCTCTTTTAAACCAGTTTTTTTCTATAAAAGTAAAGTCAAAATTTCTATATGACAACTGCTGATAAACAGACTCTCTTTGTTAATTTTAATCCCTTTTAAATATCTGACAACTAACCCCAAACTGACTAAGACATGTTGCCCCAAACTACCATGTCTGCTAATTCTAGCTCTAGCTTTAAGTTAGCTTAAAACAGAACGATGTCTCCCCTACACTATTTCAAGACGTGTGTAACTAAAACTCTATTCAAGTACATAGAAATAATCATATAAATGTCAACAAATATATATATTTATATTTATTGAAGTAGATCAGTAGACCAACATTTCAACAAGTTATTTGCGATTTGGTAGATTAAAGCTCCCTTGAGCAGATTTCAGATGGTTATGAAACAGACTGATATTAATGTGCATACCTCTTTGTGACCTACAAAAACAAACTAGACCATAAGAAGCAAAATTTACTATTTTTGTATAGTTATTTTTTATGTCCAAAATCAATAGCAGGGGGTAGGTGTCGGACAATTTAACGTTAAAAATAAAGCAGGTTGAGATTTTGTAGTCAGATGAGCATGTACAGGACATGCTCAGTAAGTAGATGAGGAACCACTTTGTCAACAGGGGGCGCCAAACAATTAACCAAAAAAAACCCTCATAGCAGCTTTAATTTTCCAAATGCATCATATCTAGGTCAAAATGCAAAGTCATAAGTGACCCAGATCACCCATAAGTGACAGAGGAACATGCTTAGATCAGAGTCACAAAACCCATCGGCTAGCTCATATTCATTTTTTGCTGATGGGTGGGTCTTTAACCAGTGTCATTTTAAATAATTACCCACTGGTTTTACACAAACCAGACCAGTCATAGTCCTGTATTTAGAATTGGGGCGGGTTCTCTAAGATGACAACACAGGACCATTACACTGCAGCCTTTTTGTGAAAAACCAAGATGGCAGCATCTGTCGTAGGGAGGTCTATTGAATCTGCAAGTGCTACTGTTTTAAAATGAACTGGATGATTCATTTTTTTTTCATTAAAATGAAGGACAAACAACTTAACTTACAGTGTTCATTGGAAAGAAAGATGTGTTTGCTGCAGTCCCTATGGGTTTTACTGCTGCTCTGGTCTATGTTGTGCTGCATTTCTCTGATTGGTTTTTGGTCCAATTGCATCTGGAAGGATATCTGGATGAGGAAATACAATGAATGGATCCAGACCCTTTATTCAGGGTGAAGAGGTCTGTGGACACTTGGCCAGGACACACTGAAATCACAGTCCAATGTTAGTAATTCAGAAAACTACTTAAAAGCAGAGTATTTCAGTCTTCAGATAATAAGGGACTTGATGTTACAGCAGCTTAGAAACAGCAATACAGACAAAAAGTAAAAATGAAATGCATACTGCACATAAACAAAACTGTAGCACTGTCTTAAGCAGCCAAATCAGCTAAGTATATTTAAAGTACTGTGATATCTACTTGAATATATTACAACTGAGTAATTATGATGAGGGTTTGTCTTTAAAATTCTTCATGATCTTTGTGGCAGGAAAATAAATTCACATTGAACATTAAAAATCCAACCATTAGTGACTTTCATCATTAAACCCACAAACTTTAAATACATAACTTTGATTATTTATTCTATTCACAAGTTTAACAGCAATAAAAAATCTGTGGACATGTAAATGTAAATGTACAAAAATTTATTATGTAAAAGACTTTAAAAAAACAAAGATATGCTTTCCCAAGGTGCTTTTATCAGTTTTGTTCAAAATATGAATCACTAAAAAATTGGGTTTTTAAAGCTCCTGTAAAGATTGTATAGAACAGTTTTTGAAACACACTGCGCTGAAAATTGATGTAGGTGCCCCATGTTATGAAAGAGTGTGCTGTTTTGACAATATGCCGTTGATTATTTAGTCTGACATCTGTCCCAGAGGCACAGTTTTAGCTATTATGTTATATACTTGTATTGAAATCATCGGTCTTGTCTGTTTTTGTCTTGGCTTACTGTTATAGCTTTATCAATATTAATTTAATTCTTCTCAAACCCAACTAAAAATCCTCACAGGGGCTGCAGTTTGTTTTGATTTCAAAGTAAAAAAATTAAGTTTTTGGTAAAGCTGTCTATGAAACCTCAACACTTCTTGATGATACTAAAAATCCCCAGTACTAGTATATTCTACAGTGTACAAGTTCTGATTTAAAGCTCCTGTGAGAAGTTTTTAGACTAAAAATTAAAATATGTTTTTATAACCAACAAAAGCAAAAAAAACTATGAGACATTACATTAAAAGTTTCTGTAATTATAATTTTAATGCCTTTAACTATATGAGGGGGTAGGTGTTTACCAGACAGTAAAGGAACAGTTCCACTTTTTGGCTGTTCAAAGAAATCAGGATATCTTTGTATCAGAATATAGTCCTTTCACCGACAGGACAAGATCAGCAAAGGGATAATGCATCACTTTGACCACAAGGGGTGCCAAAACTAACACAAACAGAAAGTTACTGAGAAGAGCTTTAAATCCTAATTTTTTCAGCTTAAAGCTCCTGTCATCTTTTACAAGCTTAAATTGTGACTTTTGACCTAAAAAAATGTAGCCCTGCTGCCTTTTGTATCATTTCTTATGCTAATTTCATGTGGAAACTGGAAAAACAGGCTCTTTCTTCAGCTGCATGGCTGACACCTACCCCCACACACCAGTTTTAGGTATAAAAAATTCAGATATGACAATCATCAGTCTTGTTGCTTACGGTCTTGTTTGCTTTTGGATACCATGAAAATTCATCACTAAGAATATCAGTGTATTACATAAAGGTGAAAAAAACTCCTCACAGTAGCTTTAAGTTTGACTTGTAGAGTGAACAGTGAAAAAGTTTAGCTGTAACTGCTACGTAGAAGTAGAATATGTGTTAATATGTGTAAATGAAGTACAGTGTGTCAAACTTTCATAAGTTTTACTCAGTTGTAATGCGTTTCTGTTTGCTAATGCTATGCAAACTGTGTCACAGTCCATCATAGTTTATTTTAATCATTAGGGATTATCTGGGAGTTAAAGCAGGAGGCTGGTATCTGCTTTGGAAAGGGGCATTTCTTTTTGCAACAACATGCCACCTCCTCCAGTTTCCCTCAAAGCATGCTTTGTAGGCCGGCTGTCTGCCAAAGTAAAGGTCAGGCAGAAACCATGCATATGTTGTGATGATCATCCTGTGCTGTCATGAGATTTACTCACCCTCTCTCTGTGTCTCTCTTTCTTTATGGGTTGTTTTTTAGAGATTCTTTGTGGATGAGTGCAAGTTCAAAGAGACTTTGCTGCCCAACAACTACAACGCCTATGAGTCTTTTGTTTACAAGGGCTTCTATATCGCCCTCAGCAAGCATGGCCGCGCAAAGAGAGGCAACAAGGCCACCACCGCCATGACTGTCACACATTTCCTCCCGCGGCTATGAGAGAAACTGGCAATAACTCACTAATTTGCACATGTGGATGTTCTTCCAGGTAACACAGAAATGCAAAGTCATGATACACACTTGGACGGACTGCGAGAGAAAACACAAATATTTATTCTGTTTATATATCTGTATATTTGGATAGCTAACTTTGTACATGTACCGTGCTGCTTATTGTTTTTATGGACGGGGAGAGCTGAAGCCTTTGCCTGTCTCACTTTACCTTGGTGCTTGCTGTAACCGAACGACGTGTCACTTCCTTTTTTGAGATGAGGGATGAGCTGTATCCTGTGCTTTTAAAGAGTGAAATGAATACTTTTTATTACCTCAAAGAACCACTTTACTAGAGTAAGGGATGCATGGACTTTCTGCTGAAATATCTGCTGAGTTTGTCGTTTCTTTCAAACCTTTTGAAAGCGCTTAACGGCCTCCTGCTTGATATCTGGCAGTGGGGGTAAAAACTTAAATGCACTACCTTTGCTGCACGATTTAAAGGTGCCTTGGTGTTCCCACTTGTGGCCCCCTTAAACTTGCATGTAAGAGACACCCACTGGAGTCAGAAATAGGGCTGACACTCCGCAGAGGGCCTCAGAGGAGGAGGGGGGTGTGGACTATCTCTGGTTTATTTTCTTTTCTGTAATTAGATCGATTAAGTAATATACAATCTGTGGTTGAGACCAGAGAGCGGTCGGCCATGGAAGCTGGCACCAGGCCATAAGTTTGACTATGTGGCTAATAAACAGGGTGGAATATTTATCTATGGAGCAAAGCATGGAGAGCTTTTTTCTTTTTGGACCTGGCTTGCACAAGAAATCGACCGAGAGGATAGATTTGCGAGCACACAGTAGAAACTGCACATTGTCTTGAAAAAAGAGCTCCTACAGTAAAGTGGGCTGCTGTTTTTTAAAGCTTTCGCTGCTCTTCAACATGATGTCCATGAAAAACGATGTAAATAGTCGCAAATGTAAAAGAAGAAGAATTCAGGAGCTTTTTTATGCTGCTTTGTCGCAGTTGCCCGAAACGAGGCAAAAAGAGTTCAGGTTGCACAGTGAGCCATCGATGATGGTGCCTACATGTTTTGGTACATATCGTTCCCTTGCCATTTTACCCCCTTTTTGAAGTCAACTTTGCGTGTTTGGTGGAGTTTGTGCCCTCCCTTGGGACACTTCTGCAGGCTGCTTGTGTGCTCTGCAGCAGCACTGCAGTGGCAGTGAGGTGTTGGGAGCCTGAGGCAGATTTAAATGCAATTATGGATGAGTCAATGGTGTGTCCTGAAGAAATGAAGGACAGTGCAGGAGGTGGACAGGATGCACACTGAGAAACGCCCTAATTTTAGCTGATTATAGCTTTAGGTGCAAGGATTTAAATAAAGAAAATGAGGGTTAAGAAAGCATCTTTTTGATATAAAACAGGTTATTGAGCTTAGAATTGGTATGCAAAGTATTAGTTTGCCTATAAAGGTGCCAATGAACCCCACTTTGAATGTTTAATGCCATCAGGTTAAAGTCTTGTTCCATATTCCAAAGATGCTTTCTGCAAAGAGTTTCTGATACTCTTCAAAGTGTGCCTCCCTCCACGTAGCTCCTGCAGCTGTTGACTTCAAAAACCTGAGTCTCACCCTCATCCATTCCTGCCTCCAGAGAGGAAGCAGGACTATTTAAATCCAGGAAAGATGTATGTGAGGGAGCCAGCCCCACCGTCTTTGTTGTTCGTCAGACCCCCTGCAGGAATGTGGATCTGCCAGGATGACAGGCAGCCTCCCACATACCTGAGTTTCCCCCCCTCCACCACCACACATCCCTACCCATCTCCTACCCCCTCCCTCACCCGCTGCGGGCAGGGACCTTGGGATTCCGGCTGTAACCCGGGAGCTTCCTCCTCTCCTTTCAGCCTTTTTTAGTTCAAGGTCAGAGTCATGGACCGGCCTTGGCCTCAACCCCGGTGGCTGTGGTTGTTGGCCGAACTGTTTCCATGAAATAGGAACTTAAAATTTTTTTTTATCGGAATAAACTGCAATTATCCCCATCAAAGTAGTGTAAAACAAACTTGTGACGAGCTTCTCTCCCCTTTAAAACTCAATCTCTTCTTGAACATCCAGCTCCACAACATGCCGTCCCCTCCCCTTTCTATGCACTAGTGTAGGGATATTTCTGGGGAGGGGACATCTGCAGAGTTAATGCAGTGTGTGAGGAGCAGAGTCACGCAGAGCCTCACCTGCTGCTGCTGCTGCTGCACTCCAGTCCTGCAGGATGGCACCACAGCCATCCTCTGGGGGCTGCTGCTGCCTCCACTGGACCCCAAACACTTTCTCACCACACCCTGACACAGTATCACCTGCTGCTCATTTGTCTTCATGCACAAATCAGCTTCTATCAGTATTTTTGTTTTAACGTTTAATTTTTGTTTCAGGGATACTTTAATTTTGCTGAGATGCAGGTTGTATTTTTATTTTTTATTTTGGAGCTTAGCTCACACAAAGACTTGTTGCTGCCATAGACAAGGCTGCATGAAACACAACAGACATACATTTTGAGGGTGAATAAATCCCCTCATTTTGGATGGAACAGCACATAAAAACCTTCACATTTTCAGCTGAAAAAAGTGTGGATGTGAATGAGCTCTTCTCATGCAACCTCGCAGTCAAGATGTCTGATGTCTTTAGCAGCACCTTATTAGTGACATCTTGTTCATAAGCTTTAGGTTTTTTCTGTAAAGAAGAGCTGGATCACTAAAAGAGTGAAGGTCCGTGTCTAAAACAAAAAGCTCACCTTTCAGCTTTGACCAAAAAAAATCCTTATTTTTAATTTTCCACAGCTTATCATAGATTAAATCTGAATTCATTCATGGTAAGGAGTATGTTTTGAAATAATGTGTAATGTATTGGCATGCCTGAGCCCTGATCTTAACTCGGGGGGGATGTGTGCTTCATGTGTTTTTTTAAACTCCAGCTCTGAATGGGAGTAAAGCTCTGCTCTATTCCTCTCATCTCTGTTCTCATATACCTCACCCTCTGCCTTAGTTTTGGTTTGCTGATGACTGTAAATTTAAGACGAAACAAACTTCAGTTCTTTGTTTCTGAAAAACAGACAATGCTAAGTAAGGATATTAAAGTTTTTTCCTTTTATTTTTGTACGTATGTGCTGTGCACAGCAGTCTACTGTATTCCTGAGAAAACAATAAAAGTTTTTTTTTAAAATGGTTGTTTTTTAAGTGTCTTTCTTTTTGTATTTAACAGAACTATAGGAGTGCTTGGACCTTTGACTGAAGTATATATACAGGTAAAGCATACTGATGTTCAACAATACTTTTTCATATTAATGATACTGATAAAATTGGGAATTTTTATTTCAGTGTTTGTCGTTTAAAAGTACAGTTTATGCTAACCTGTGTGAATATAAGGGTAAGATTCAGTGAGCAATGATGTGCATATTTTAACGCTCCTACAGGGAACTTTTAGTGTGCGTTAATGTGGCGCCCCCTATGGAGAGATGACACTTAATATATTTGCTTAATTCTTCCTTGCCATGTGAAAGTCAAAGGGATATTCCGGCATGAAATTAATTTAGGGTCAAAAACACCATAAAACAGAGTTAGACACCCCCTAAAGAGATGAATGTTGCCGACCGCTTGCTTCTCTAGTTATACCAACTTTAGTAACGACTGCACAATAGCAACCAAAAAGTCACTCTATAGCCACAAATAATGCTCAGAACAGCACCTAACTTCATCAACAGCACATAGAGGGTCCTAGCCATAGCACTAGCCACCAAACATCCTTTTAACTTTGCTTAATTTCTTTAGCAAAGAGACTAAACACAACTCACCTACTCTCTTCCAGCAGCTGCTTGTTTGTAGTGAGACCTCAGGCTAGTCCATTACAGACTGCTATGGGGTGACACAGCTCAAGGATTCTTTTTGCACTGCAGACACGGTAGTTCTTCTGCTTTTGTAGTCTGCAGAGGCAGATTGCATACTGCCACCTAGAGTGTCATACTGTATAGGGTTTGTTAATAAAACCTAAAGAGATTAAACTATTACCCAGGCATACATCGTGCACTCTTAACTCATACACATGCCAGAGTCTTGAAGTCAAAATGTAAATGTGGTTAAAATGTTATGTGTTTATCCTGTAGCAAACCTCCCTGTGAGAGTGTTAATAATAATAATAGCTTAGTTTGTTATCAGTTTGTGTGCAGCTCAATGTGAAGCTACTTTGAACTTTTTTTTAAGATACTTTGGTTCTCACTGGTTCTCAACCTAATACATAAAAAGGATCTAAAAGTTTATACATTTTTTAAGAAAAAGACAACTAAATACTAAACTAGCAAATATCTTTTCAAGATTTCTATATTATTATCATATTAATATTTAGATCAGAAAATCTAAATGAGCTTTCCGAGAATTTCAGAGTGGGAGCCTGTCACATTGAACTAAAAAGGGTAAATGACAAAAATGATGACATTATTATTACAAATTAAATGTGTTGTATTTCTCTAACCTTTCTTGCGCAGCTCCATACAGTTGCAAACCTCACAGAACAGAGCAGAAGTACAAACTACTTAAAATTGTACTCCTGCACATGAACTAGGAAAATGATAAAAGTTCTTAAAGTGCTTTGTAATGTGTTTCTTACTGGGGTAAATATGTTCTTCTGTCAGGAGGCTTTTCTTTAAACTGGTCTACAGTCCAGTGTGTCCTGTGCTGGAACGACTGTCTCCAGAAATAGCTGGGCCGGTTAAATGAACTCCAGAGTCCCAGAACTAAACAGGGGAGTGGCTCCCTCTGCTGGACACATGATGAAAATGTTGAGATGGTGCGTAAAAGCCGCAAACGGAACTAACGTTCAATTTCCAATAGGACGTTTGTTAATGCCATAGTTTTTCCCCTCAAACGAAATGAAGACTTCAGTTGAACTTGCTAACATCATAAACTGCCCAGGGGTTTTAAGACATAATTCATACAAATCTCCACACATGTATGTATTTTCCTTTTGTTGTCTTTTTGTACATTGCTCAATGCACCATGTGTCCACTCAAAACAAGAAACCGAACTTGTGGACTTTGAACCATTAAGAAATAGTCTCACAATATTATTTAAGCTGGATGAGTCAAGACGTGTCACCAAAAATAAGACTCCTGTCTGACCAAGAGCATCAGGGTAAACAGACAGAGGTGGAAGTGGCCCTTCCGCTGCAGCGAACCCGCACATCTGCTTTGGGGGCGAGTTTCTTTTTTTTACTCTGAGGATGTGAGCAGGGGTGGCACTCAGGGGGCTTTAAATAGGAACTGTCTCCAAACTTTGGGACAACAGAGCATCTGAATCCTACCAGCAGCTCGCAGTTGACAGTACCAGCTCGTTGCTCCAGGATGGACATCAACAGGAGACTTGGTATGAGAGACACCGTGCTGGCGCTCCTCTTCGCTGTGCTCCAAGGAGTTCCCCTCGGTGACACGGCTGCGAATCCCTCACCGCTGGTTGGGTCCAACTGGGGGAATCCGAGAAGATATGTCCACCTGCAGACATCGAGTGACCTCAACAACTTCTACTTGGAAATCAAATTGGATGGCACTGTGCGCAAAACCACCATCAGAAGTTCATACAGTAAGTATGCTTACCTCTTTTTCAGAGATGGGAATTTTTATCTCTGTAATGTTGATTTGTAAAAATCCATCTTTAGATAACAAAAACTGGCCCCCTCTTTTTCCCCTGCAGGTGTGATTTTGCTGAAAGCTGAAACAAGAGAGCGCATCGCCATCCTTGGAGTCAAAAGCAGCCGTTACCTGTGTATGGATTTGGAGGGAAACCCATTCAGCTCTGTAAGAAAAAACTAACTTTCAGTTACATTTTACTGAACCTCACCCTTTTCTTTCTTTCTTTTTACCTAACTGGGCATCCTCTAAAGACTTTTACGCAATTTTGGTCAAGCTCTAACTAAAGTGTTCTTCCTTTACGCACAACTGTTTTTGTGTTTTATGATTTATTTACTATATTAATTCCTTCATTTTCTATTTCGCACATATAAATCTTTACTTACCCGATGCGGAAATGTTAAATTCGTAATAACTTTGTAGTTTTTGCTAGATTTCTATCTTGCTTCGTACCTTTACGCACAGAAGTCCGGCAACTTTTTAAGCGATTATTCGTTCATTTGATGTCCTTTTCATTGTCGATTCATTGATGTAATCAAACAAAGTGCTGAAAGTGGCAGACTTCGCTCAATTTTCTTGAGCACTTTTACTTTTTTATAGTCAAAATGTTACCAAAAACAAAAGGAGCAAAAACCGTTACGGATAGTTCGGAAACTTGAGCTGATTTGTTGGTACTTTAAGGAGTTGCCAGATTGTGTTACAACCTTAAAATTGCTAAATTGTTTTTGTTTTTTACCTCCTTAAAACCTGGCAAAAGATTTATCCTGAAAAGCTTTAAAGATTTACTGTTAGAGAAGTCAGATTTTGGTGTGGTTAAGTCATAATATCTATCAGTGAAGAAATACCTTTCCACGGAGCTGCGCACATCTGTAGTTCTGTTTAGAGATAATACCGGTACTATGAAGCAAATAAACCTAAAAGGGGGTAAAAATGAAGTGAAATTTCTTGCACCTCTAAGAAGATAATTTCCCTTCAGTAGCTCAAATTTCTCTGTGTATCTTTCTCTCAGCCCGTCTGTCTCAGGGAAGACTGCCTGTTCAATCACAAACTACTGGAGAATAATCGGGACGTGTACTACTCCACTCGGACCGGCATCCTCTTAAACCTTGAGGGCTCCCGGCAGGTGTTTGCAGCGGGCCAGAATCTACCCCAAACGTCCATCTTCCTCCCCAGAAAGAACACAGTACCGCTAGAGCGCCTCCTGGTCAGAGAGAAAAGGAACCAGGTGGTGGACCCCTCTGACCCGCACAACGTCTTCTTCGGTAGGGCCGAGGAGGGCTCAGACTCTCGGGCCGTGCCGGAGGACGACGCAGACCTAGACCTGGAAGTGGAGGTGGAGATTGAGGCCGGAGACGATGGACGCAACGTGTCCCGGGAGACGCAGATGGCTCCGTCCGCCCACGACCCCTGGAACGTGCACTCGTCCAACCCGGCGAGCCCACGAAGCTCCGGAACCATGGGCTGAATTTAGTGAGGATCGATGCGGATTCATTCAAAATTGGGTAAATCCAAGTTGTAGGTCTAATTTATGGCTTGATAGTATACGAGGGGTATTTATATCAGACTTAATATTACAAACTGAATGGAGGGCGTTCGGGTAGCCTCTTAGTCTACCTTCTTTCCCCCTGAGTAAACAATGTAACCTAAGTGAGGACGCTGAAGTTGGCATATTATTCGCAAATATTGGCAAAAAAGGTCCTGACCCCAAATCACTGTTATACCTGGACTACATTGTCCAAGAAAATCTAGACTTCAAAAACAGGTTTGTAGATTTCTTGAATCTTTATTTAACAGTGAAAATTTGAGAAAGGGCAATTTCAATGCTTACTTTCTGCATATTAACCACATAAAACCAGGTCTTAATCTCGAAGACGCCCAAACCAGGCAACTAAAGAAGCTTCTTGTATAAGAGGTGAAACATCTTCTCAACTCTACACAGTCCAATTGCCTGATTTTGGAGTCTTGGAGATAACCATGACCTGGATGAAGGAGAATCTACATGGACACCAGGTCTTAATCCAACTCCTATCAGGAGCACAACTACAAATCATTCTTGAAAACGCATGAAAAGGCAGTTTCAGTGGATTAGGTCAATAATATACCAACTTCAGTGTGATGCTTAGCTACTTTGTTGGTCATTCATTAAAAAAACTTCATTTTTACATCGTTTATAGAAGAATTTTAGACTTGACTTGTGGCCCATTTTTGCACTAGTTATAGTGTCTAAACTTTATACAGCTCCCTCTTTGAGATAACAGCTGATTTCAGTCAAGTTATAGACTGCATAATATATGTAAGTGGGGATGTTGCAAAGCAAACCCTTCAATGTATTCATTCAGGGAGAAGTTAGCATGTAATTTTGTTTTGTTTTTGTCTCTTCCCTTTGAGGTTTTACAGCTGGTCTGAGAAACCCATTTCAAAGTGACGGGGATAGCTACAGGAACATGGGCCCCGTCTACTCTTGTCAAACCATGTAGTCATGATTTTAAAACAAAATACATGTTAATAGAGGTACCAAGTAAGATACAATTAGTAGAGTAAGTTTAAGTTTTGTCCATATTTTGAAGTTTTGAGCTTCATCGGTGTAAATAAAATAAATTTGAAGTTTGTTTTAATATTACATTTTGACCACAACTCCAAAAACTCTAAGGCTACAGATCTATAGTTTGTGTTGTGTTAATGTGTCTGTATTTGTACAGCCTACTTCATGACTTGAAGGAATATAAGTACAGGGTATTCAACGTTTGCAGGGCAGTAATCTTGATATCAAATCTGAGCTATTGCATTGAGATTTTACAGGTGCCGGGCACCACCAATTACCATAACAGCCAGTCCCAAAGAGTATTTATTTATTTAATTTCACTCCTTTGTTGTTATTTATAGTATTTATAAGAATGCTTTACTCTTTAATGTACATACAAGAAAACCAGTTTTGTCTTTGAATGTATGAGTTGAAGCTGGAAATGAAGTGTTGCTGGAATTTGGGACAAAATAAACGATTAAAGAAAGATGCTGAGTGCTGTGTGTACTTAATGCAAACTTTTAGCTCTATTCTTTTATGAGGGGGTATGGTAAAAATTTGTCTGATAGCTTTACAGTTTCTCTACATGATTTACAGGTGGTGTCTTTGAAAACCCTGATTTCTGCCTCAGTTTGAAATGCTTCATTTCAGCAACTGTCTCTGTGAGATCTCCCAGTACTCTGAAAGTTGGTTATTCTGGGAGCCTCTTTCACTGCTGCCATGTTACAAAATCATTTTTCTCTTAATAAAATTATGGCTATATGATTTTGGCACCAAATCTGACATGGAAATCTGACAGCCTGCTGTCTTATCCAATTAGTCTGACATACCAGTACATTAACTTCAGTTTGTAAATTGGCCTACATTTGCTATTGACTTGACAATAATTTTTATCTCTAAAAACAGCCCGATGTTGCCCCACCGAGCCTGAGAATCAAGCAACTCCATATTGCGTCTGCAAGGAGATTTACTCTCAAAATAAACTTGGGGACATTTTAACTTAAACTAAGTAAGTGTACAACAGTCGGTTGCCTATGGACCATTAACCATATCCAAAATTATTCAATATTTTCAGATACGGTGTCCACTGTAGCCAGGCAACCATGGATTCCAGGAAACTACTACACCTAGCTAAATAAGTAGTAGCCCCTGTCCAACTGCTCTTTTGTTCAAACTTGTGTAAAACAAAAATGATCCAATTCATTACATTTTCAAAATAGGCTGTAGGAAAACTTTGGAACTGGGCTGCTATTCCCTTTTTGTACTCTCCGTGCTTGGCTTAAGCTAACCTATCAGCTGTGGCATTAATAACACATTAGTCTGCAGTGAGGAATCCAAATTTGTCAGAGAACTAACGAGCTAAGTGCTATAATTAGACACCGTATCACCTAAGGGTTACTTCAAAGCAACTCAAACCCCACATCCATACACATAATATCCTTCCATTCCATTATCTGAGTATGCTATGCAAGCATGACATGTGGTACTCCCGTTATCATCACAAAACAAGTCTGCTTCATAAATTTATATGTTATAAAAACCACTGTTATGAGAAAGACAAGTCCACATTTTCAGAAAACACCTATGTTAAACCATTACAGAAAAGAGTGGAGTAATAAAATGTATGAATTCATGGTTGGTTAGGCCTCTCATATAAACTCTGCCCTTTATAGGCCTACATTTTCAGATTTTAGGCAGATTATTTAAACTTTTTTACGTGTTTCATGTCATTTCGAACTGATAGCAGAAATTAAGAGTAAGTTTAGGATCCGTTTTGGGAACAACAAGCTAGTTTTGAAGGTTTTAAAAGAGGCAGTCACAGGGACATATGGGTCCAAGGATAAATAATAAATGGTGGTTGGCTAAATGGTTTTTAGTCATTCAACTCTAATTTCTTAAAATTTAGGAAACTTTACAAGAGCAAGACTAATCCATATTATTGTACTTATTAAAGCTGGGCCTCCTACTCCTCCCATTGATTTTCTATTCATGTCATAAATGTAATACAGTATTGTATTACATGTAAGTCCTCTTGTGTTAACTGGAAGGTCCCCTGGTAATTTTAAGTGTTCAATTTGTGTCATTGTCATAAATTGATCCCATTATGTTGGTTATATTGTTGCTTGATGAGTTGCTAATGAGAAACATTGACCCCGTGAAGCAGTTTAGATGAAGACATAAATAATAACACTCAAGAATAAATCATTGTTGTCATGTTATATTGCACAAGTCAAATAAGCAGCACACAACGGAATATGACAAACACTCCATCTATGTTCCTATAAGGAGGTCAAAATAGACAGTACAATGACTTCAAATCATTTTACAAATGCACGTTTGCTTTGAGACTCAGTATTACTGAGAGAAATTCTACATTTATCCCTTTTATGATTTGTTCTGTTGCGAAAAAAATGAAATGCCTTTGTGCTATTTTTAGGTTTACACCTTGCAGATTGTATTGTTTTTGAATTATTGAGGCTGTGATGGTCATTCAGCAGGGAACAAAACTAAAAATAGATGAAAATAAAAAACCTCAGATTGCACACTTAAATGCCTGAAACAAACACACATGAATATGTAGCACCAAACAGCAGATACTGAGACGGATGTCATAAATGTCTTTTGTTGTTTTTTTTCATATGTGCAACCCTGTATTGTCTATAAATACACACGAAACTCAACAAATATTCAGTGTTGTCATGTTGTAGTGCACAAATAAAATAAAAATACATCAAGGTGAAAATTCCACACTTACTGACAGTGCTCAGAAATAAATTAAATAGTTCTGACTTTGGTATAACATGAAAAAAAGGCAATCAAAGGAACAACATTAAAAATATTCTGTGACACAAGTCTTACCTGGCCCCCAGTTTGAAGATACGGAGTGTCTGTAGAGTACTGCACAAGTATTTTGAGTTTTGACGCACATTCAAACACTTTCGATTGTTGAGACAACACAATTTACCCTGTGTGTTGATGTATGAAGTTAGCTGTGGTAACTCTGAGGTCTTTAAACCTTGTTTTCTGTTTATAGTTCATGACTGTTCCCGTCAAAGATGGCACGCATACTCCCAGTTCCCGTTATTTTTTCTTCCCCTCTATATCATTCAGCAGCCGTGAGGTCATCCAGGTGACTCTTCCGGTTTGTGAAGATGCAGCGAGCAGCAGAGAGAACAGGAGAACCAGACTCAGACCTGCTCAAAGTGAGAATATAGCGGCTGACCCCTGTGTTTGGACAGGGTGCAAAAAGCTGGGAAATCTTCACTCCAGCAGGCAGAGAGCTGTTCAAGTCCTCCACGAGATGCCTACTGGCGATACGGATGTAAGCCCCGTGACTCACCACCAACACATGGATGGACACCCCCTGGAGACCGTCGTCAGCTGAACCAACAGGAGCAGCATCCGAGGCGGCAGCAGCAGAAGAAGAGGCTGAGGGCCCATTAGAAGCTTCTGGTGCTTCTGAGCAGCCGTGCTCATCAAGCATTTTTTTGAAAAGGGCTTTAAGGAACTTTTTGAATCGCAGCCTTACCTGGAAGTAAAGTGACAGTGAACCAGAGCTAAGAGCTGAAGGTTCAAACTTGAAGAATATCTGAAATCCAAGCAGGTCTTATGGCTCAAACAGACTGTTAGCTAATGACTAACAGTTAAAAACATGTTGCTTTCTTTGTGTACTTCGTTTCTTATTTTATCCTTTGAAATTTTGTATTTTGAATTAAACGTTTTTGGTGACAGTTCAGGCAAAAATGCCACCAATAGTTTTTTTTCTCTTCAGATGAGGTATTGGAAAGTCCTGTTCATGCTTTTGAGAGGACTGGTCAAGTCTATAAAGTAAATTTCATTGAATGTTTAACTTGAAATAACAATCCAACAACCAAATTCTCTCCCTGTGCATCAGTAAGCTTCAGGGTGATACACATTTTTTTCCATGCAACATAAAAATCTGCACAGTGACGCCATGTTGGGTGCAAAACATTAAATGAGCACTGGGTGGTGCTGTTGCACAAGCGTAATTCTTCTGACCTTGAGTTTTACAACTAGTCGATTCAAACTGACTGACTCACCTGGTCTAAAGTCTCTCCCCCTGGCGGTGTGAAGTCCCGACATGACTGGCCAGCAGCGTTTGCCATGTTCTTCATATGCTCTTTGGGGTGTCCTTCACAAACACCAAACCCCTGTGTTAACAGAAGAATCACAATTAAGAGCTCACAAAACTAACTCCTATGCTCTATGTTGAATTATGAAGACTCATGAAGGCCACAGATCTTACCCTCTCTCTGAGAAACGGCTCCAGAACCATCTCCGTGCCAGAGCAGTAAGTGTTGTTCTTCAGGATGAGCTCAGCTGTCTAACAGAGGAAATCAACGCTGGAAATTACTGACTCAAAACATTTGTCAGCACAAAAAAAATCTGTCATGGTGAAACTAAAATTAATACATCATCAGCAACAGTGAGTCAAAGACCACAGAGACATGAGTGCTCACAAAAATATTTCAGAGCTGTATCCTGTTTTTCCCTTTTTTCTTTCCTCACAATCGAGAGAAAATTAGAAAACGGAACTTGCTGAGAACAAGTCCTCCACCATCCAGAATGACTCAATAAAAAAAGCCATTATTCCACTGAAAATAGTGCAAAGACAACAAACCAAATGTTGAAGCTTAACAACTTTCTGTTTTACAGAAAAAATATATGCTCATTGTAAATTTGATATGCTCCTGTGGGGCCCAGGAGGCACCTCTCAGGGAGCTGGATCCTCTTTTACCTTATTTTGAACCCACAGTTTTAAATCTTGGTGTTTAGGTTGACAATGATTTTAAATTGGATCAACAAATCAACTCTTCTGTTTAATATAGTTTTTATCATCTGAGGCTTTTATCCAAGATTAAACCGGTTTTATCTTTTAATGATTTTGAGCGAGTAATTCATGCTTTTATATCCACACAGTTGGACAACTGTAACGCTCTTTACATTGGAGTTGATCAGGTTTTTAAATCTTTAAATGGATCAGCACCACAGTATATTACTGACCTCTTAAATGTTTATACCCCCACACGTTCCTTGAGGTCTGCTGATCAGCTCCAACTCGTGGTACCAAAAACTCATTTAAAAACCTGTGGCGACCGAGCTTTCTCGGCTGTGGCTCCCAAATTGTGGAATGAATTGCCACCCGAGATTAAAACATCCCTGACTCTTTCTACTTTGAAATCACGTCTTAAAACTCATTTTTATTCCTTGGCTTTTAGCTTAGCATGAGAGTTGTGTGATCTCTGTCCTTTTCTGTCTATTACGGTCGTTTTATCACCTTTATTTCTTTTATGCTTTTGTGTTTTTATTTCATTTCATTTTAAATGTTGTTTACCTGCTTTTATTTATTTAATTTTGATGTTTTCAGCATTGTCTGTTCTTTTAATTTTATTGTGCAGCACTTTGGTAGACTTGATTGTTTTTAAAATGTGCTATATAAATAAAGCGGATTGGATTGAATACATTTGATACCAGCCATTTGAAATCAGTTGGGACATGTTTAGCGCTGTGTTGCATCACCTCTTCTTTTAACATTTCTCTGTAAATGTTTGGGTACCAAGGAGACCAGTTTCTGGAGTTCTTAACAGAGGATTTCAGCTGCTCAACAGTTAGGTGTCTACTTTGTTGTATCTTCTTAGTCATAATGAACCAAATGTTTCCAATAGATGACAAGTAGGACCTGAGGGCAGGCCAGTTCAGCACCCACACTCCAGCACAATGGAGTCATGCTGTTGTAATACACTCAGAATGTGTTTTTGCACATTATTCCCTTCTTGTTGTCTGGATGGCAGCATATGTTTCTCAAATTGATTAACATAAATGGAGCCTTTCCAGAAGTGCAAGCTAGCCATGTCATGGGCATTTATGCATCCCCGTGGACGCTGCCTTCATCACTGTGATATTAAGGTGGGTGGTACCATTACTCTATAGAGCAGAGGATCCATGATTTCCAGAAAAGATCAAAATTGGATTTGTCAGGCCATTGAAAGGGTTTCTACCATCCTTCTGTCCAGCTTAAATGGGCCAGGGGAGTTGCCTGCATTTCAGGATCATGCTTGCATAGCACAGTTTCAACATACAGCGACAAACTGTGTTCACAGACAATGGTTTCTGGATGTGATTTTGAGCACATGCAGAGTTTTTCAGTTCGTTGTGAGTTGTGTGTTTTTAAGGCAGTGACACCTGAGGGCTAAAAGATCATGGGTACCCAAAATCAATCATCAGCTTTGCCCCTATTCACTAGATTCTTTAGGACTTGTATTTTTGATGAAATCCTAAAATTACTTGCAATATTAACCAGTACCTTGTTGAAAATTTAGTTAGTTGGGAAGAGCTTTTCTAGGATTACAAAACTTTTTCTGTGTTTTGTTATCCCTGTCTTAACTCTTTTGAAACATGTTCCCGATATCAAATTTGCATATAATTCTTTTAATATAATGTTAGATTTTTCAGCTTCAACATTAGATTTATTGTATTTGCTCATTTTTAATCAAATATTGGCATTAAATTATCTGCAAACCAATCCTCTTTTTATCAACATTTTACACAGCATCCTAACTCTGACAGAGTTCAGATCATACGTCTTTCCATCAACCTACATGAGCAGTAAAAAGTCATAATTAAACTGCATTCAAACATAATATCATTATAGCATGTATGAATTCAAGTCTTACCTGTACAGCTCTTTGTAGGTTACTGACAAAGACGTTGTTGAAAGGGATGTCTCTCAGATATCGCCCCACCGCCTTACCCTGCTGCACACCTGCCTCTGATAAGGTTGTGTCCACACCTTGCCCTTAAAAGCACAGACAAGGAGTCATTATAAGACCATGGTCCATAGGGGAGAGTGGGGTAAGATGAGCAATTTTTCATATTCCGGATCACTACATGAATGCAATCCTAGTTTTGTCTCTAACTAGTGAATCTGCATATATTTCAAGATGTTGTGCATCCCTGCAAACCAACAGAATAAGTGTAAACATAACTGTTTTGATAATATAGCATGCCAAAAAAAAGTGGTCTTCTATGGTCAACTTACCCCGTGTATGGGGTAAGTTGACCATAGGAGTGGGGTAAGTTGAGCCGTATCCCAACCAGTTATTAGTCCTCTAAGCTAAAGTGGTGGACTTTTATGCTAAGTTTTTGACCTCGTGTTGTAGCTCATAGATACAACAATTGATACAAATTTATATGATCTTTTTTGTTCTAAACACAATTGTAATAAAACATATGACAGAATAAATTCATTTTCAAGAGTGAAAAACGTTTTTTTGGAAATAAATGTCTAACTCCTTCACCCATGCGCTTCTAACCTTCACAGACTCCATGAATTGATGCCCATCTCCGAAATATTTGGTCACATGTTCAATTTCTTTGACCATTTCTAAGCAACAGAGGGTGGCTCAACTTACCCCACTCTCCCCTATATGTGTTTATAACATAAAGTCTATTAATCATCTCAGGTGTGATTTTTCTTCATCGTACATGTAACATGTTAATCTTACGCTATAAACCCACAAATAACGGTCATGTTTTGTTAGGAGGACACAAACAGAACAGAATGAGCTGATAGACTGCTTACCTTGCAGCAGTTTCTCCTTGTTGTACTGAGTTTCTCCACTGTGTGAAAATACAGCAGAAAATAATGAATTAGCTCAACCATGTTACTCGATTTTACAGGAGAAATCGGTCTTTGTATGTGATTCCAACTCAGAAGGTTACATGTTTAAATGGACTTCAGTCTCTTGTCCTTGGTAAACTCAGACAGTACAGTGAGAAGTGTTCGCGTTACCACCAAACTAACGCAAAAAAACTGTTCATGGAATAAGTTCGAGTTATCAGCTCAGTCATGTTTGAGGTGGTAACACAAATACAGCGAAAAGAGACCTTAAAATGATCACTTACTGTCGCACAAGCGTTAAACTGAATGTAAACATTTTCAGCTGCAGTCCCCAGGTTACTTCCGCATTTGAGCACGCAGTGACGTGACGTACCATTGTGTCATGACGCAAACGTAATCCCTTTGGAGCCTGCGTCCTCATGTGTCAGTCGGCGAATATTGAAAATAAATCAGTTTTTTTCCTAAAAGGTTCGGGTAAAAAAAATAATAATAATGATAAAAAATAAATAAATAATAATAATGTCCTCATAAAGCAATAATTGTATTTTTTAATAAATTATCGTCTGTAATAATGTATGTAATTCATGTATTTACTGTTTTAATATTTCTGACAAGAATGTACAAAAAAATAGCTCCACGTTTATTTTCTACAGTGAATCATCTCCATAGTTCTGTCCCTGAGTTTGTGTGCTTGTGTTTTGATTTTTATCCTGTTGATAAGACCAGAGTATAACTTCCTCATTTTACATTTTTCAAGTTTTGTGCATGTCCCTGTCGGTTAAGTCGCCCTCTAGTGGTGAATGAGGGGTAAGATCTCACAGACAGTCCATGTGCACAGATTATTTAGACTGCAAGCAGCAGAGAAATACATTAAGACAAACAACTCAGATGATTTTGCCCAATTTTATTGATAAGAAATTGTTGAGGTACGCTGTGTGGTTACACATGGGAATTGTGGGTGAGGAGTTTGGAATAACAACCACACTGAACAAATGACAAAACATTCTTGTGGTTTAAAATTCGACCAAATGGGTACCTCAAAAATAACATTTCATTTTATTTCAACAAACTGATGGAAACATGCTGACAAAAGTCTCAAGAAGGATTTTTTTTTGGTCTATCCATTACATGTTTGACTTACACAAATGAAATGACCTATTTTAAAGTATAGGCACTTACATAGGCACAGTGGAAGACATTTTTTGATTTCAAGAGAAGAAGCACCATCATTCCTCTCGTCCAGACAGAAAAAAAAAGTGAAACCCGTCCAACAAATTCAGAGTGAAAACAACATATGTGTGTGTGTGTGACGTGAAGTTTTGGTGAGGTAATGCGAGATGAACTCTCACTCTATTCATCCAAATTAACCTGAGGTACACAAACATAACAAAGAAGCAGCAAGAGTATGATAGAATATAAAGATACAAATGGAACAATAAAAGAATAAAACATGCTAATTAAACAGATCAATAAACACAAAGTACTTCCAGTCCCGCACCAAGCTGTTACGTTCCCTCCAGTACACATATAACAGAGAAGCAAAATAAAAAAAAGGACTTGTTACATATCCAACATATCATAATATAGCAGCACACAAGTGAATCACAATAAGGCATCTTCGTGTAAGACTAGAAAAGAAAAAGCTTCTTAGCAGCAAGAGAATTATGTGTATAATCTAGTTTTCTCACTTTGGAATTGCCTCTTTTGAATTATACACAAACCCTTAAAGAGCACAAAAAATTTTTCTGTTTAAAGCACTTTTTTCATGGAGAGACATTTGGCTTATGCACAACAAAACATGCACAAATACAATTTTGACACTACATTTCTTTTTCTAGAATGTAATGAGGATTTCTGAGCATGGAAGAATTGGTAAATATACAGTCACACTTTCCCACTGTGTAAACCCCAAACCTATAAATGTCTACAATGGAAAAAACTCATCAAACGTTAGATCAGGAAGCAGTTTACATAAAGAGCACAACAAGGAAGAGTATACTCAGGAACAGTATGTGTTTAACTCTTAAAGAACTATTGGAAGGTTTTGGCTATGGATCAACAAAAAAAATTCAAGTTCAAGGTTAAATAATCGCATTGAACAAAAATAGAAAAACAAAAATCTAAGTCTACAAGTGACTTGGCTTTTCTTAAACTATTACACCGATTATCCTATGTCTACTCAGCTATCGGGGCGTAGCTTTCAAGACAATGTGCATAACCCCATGGGAATCCAGCCCAAAAAAAATCAAATAACTTAAAAAAAAAAAAGATTTAAATGACCCTAACAACCCACTGAACTCTCCTCAACCAACATCCCCTTACCCATCTTAAGGAGTGTGTTTTTAAAAGTGCATCGATATTGTTCCAAGTCGCCCACTCAATTAAAAAAAAAAAAAAAAGTGATGCCCCCGGGCCTCATCGAGGATTTTTACCCCTCCTTTTCACTCAAGTATCTTTCAACTGCAGAAACGTTTATCATATAGCTTAAGTTATCTTCCCTCGCTATGTTGCTATCAATCAAACAATCGAAACCTTCCCCACTTGCACATGCATTTCCTTTCTCGAAACAACTCCTGAAATTTCCCCAAAGCTGCGTTCATTTCCTTTCAAACCTAGAAAAACTTGCAAAAACATCCTTTTTATTCTTAAATCTCATACGAACTGCCAACTCCTCTTCAAACCAGCCATCAAACAGCTAGAGCAAGAACAAACAGAACAATAATAATAATATAGCCTATCTGAATTATAATACATGTACATATGATCCTATGAACAAACTGTGGATTTAGCAGTGAAATCAAGACCTTACAAAGTCCTCTGTGTTCATTTCTTACAGTAACCTCTGCTCCAGACCTCACAGCCCCTCATGCTCGTCCTCTGTGAGCAGGCCCAGCCCACTCCTGGCCTCCACTTTTTCAGCATAAATAGTTAGCAGTGCTACAGGTGCACAGTATGATAGATAGAGGGAGAGCAGCTAGCCACAGTAGCACTTCTCTTGGTTGGATATCAGCTCGGTTTAAATGGCTTGTACTGTTTGATCCACTTTTAAACCCCGGCTAAGAAAGTTTCCTGTGAAAAATGGAATCTGAATCAGGCTGTGAGTCAGTCTGTGAGTTAATAACCGCTCGCTAAAGATGATAAAAGAGTAACATAACTAAATACTAGCTAAATACACATTATCTTTTGATTTTATTTATACTAGGTTGTATCAAAGGAAATATGTATATTTCATAAAATTATGTTTTTTTTTTTCAAGTATGAAAATATATTTAGGTTTCCGTTCTGGGAGACCTTAGGCACTATCAAGTTTTTAACCATTTTTTTAAATAGCTTGTTGGATTAAATGAAAGTTCACCCAGCCATGTATGAATGGGGCAAAAAAGGAGAAAAACTAGAAATTTATTATCTAAAAGTTCATAGATTGTCACACCAGCGGTCATGTGGCGTCCTTATACTGGCAGCCCACGCCCCCCCTTGCTCCTTTTAGTTCATTGGTTGACAGGAATGAGTGAGGTGTGTGTGTGTGTCTGTGTGTCTGTGTGTGTGTGTGTGTGTGTGTGTGTGTGTGTGTGTGTGTGTGTGTGTGTGTGTAAGGTAGAGAGAGGGGCGGGTTCATAAGTTGACGTCCCGTACATCTGTGGGGGTGCTGGACTGGTCCTGTTGCTCCCTTGCCTTGTTGCCTGCCCTGACCGCCGGCTCCTGTCGGCACTGCTGGCCCTGCTGCAGGCTGGTGGCCAGCACACGCTCTATTTGCTCCTGGCAAGCCCTCAAAACGTCCTGGAACAGAAAAAAAGGGGGTCAGACTTCATTACACTCACACATACTTCAGTTACGGCTTTGCTGGTGGTAAAACGCAATGAAGGCGGGTTTTGAAAACAAAGCAAATACTCTGGAATTCAAGTTCCTTTTGCAGACCTTGTATGCACTTGTGTTTGTCTCGTGTCTTAACTAACCCACATTCACAACGTTCTTTTTTAGTGCAAACTTAGTGTTAAATTTGACTTAAGCGGTCGAACATCGCACACGCTGCTTCTGCTCAGCATCACAATCGTTAGAAAATCAAATATCCCTTAAGATCCAGAATGTAAAATGACTTTATTAGCGTTCAGCAATGTGCAGCTTTGATGTAGATGTGTAGCTTTTTCAAACACTATCTGTTATCACCAACCTGCCGGTTCCCCCCAAAAACTGACACTGCTTTGTATCCAGCATGAATGGAGAACCTCTCTCTGTTTACAAGATGCAGCACACTTTTGAGATGCCAAAAATGGTGTGAAAAGTGCATCTTACACACTAAATTTTAAGGCAATTAGTGATGCTATCTTTTTCCTAATTTTGTCCTGTACAGGGATGTTCTGAGGTGACTAATTCCTTAGTTCCTTTTAATATAAATTTAAATTCTGACTAACAAGGTGATTATAACACAAATGTGAACACCAAAGGGTTTTATTGCTGCACCTGTCTGCAGACAGTAGCGTGCAAACAGATCTGAAATTTCATTTCATCTGATGAGCAGGTTTTTTAACAGCTTCAGTCACATGCATGAAATACCAGCAGGGAATTATGTGTGTTGAGGTAGGTGGTCCTGTCTCCATCATGCCCAGAACAATGGGTACCAGCACAACACAAGAGCAGAGAGCCGCACGGTGGGCACAAGAATCATCCCTGACACGAGACCTGTGCATGCCTGAGGTATGAGTAGAGTGCAGGGGGAATGTGAGGGGGCCTAGAAAAGAACCCTGTGGTCACTCAGGGAACAGATAAGGCAGCTCTGAAACTCCGGACCCCCTTCCTCCACCCTCCCTTTGGGTTTACAGCACGGTCAGTCCCATGTGGAGGTCTAAAGGAAATGGCTTTGACCTACTGCACCCTGACCCTCTGAGTTTGGGTGTAAAACAGAATATAGGACATTGGGACCGGATGTTTTTGGACAACTTGTCTTGTGAAAGGAGATCCTCTCCCTGTCTGTGTCTCTCTGCAGGTCTGTGAGGAAGATGTGGGAGGTCTGCCTCACTGGGCCGGCTGCAGGACTCTTAAAAGAATGAAGCAAGCCTCGCAAAGAGGCCAGCATTCCTTTGAAATGTACGGATAATTGGAACCCGATGGTCTGCAGTCGGAGCGCCTGTTGTGACGGCTGCATTGCGGGGCCCTTGTTGCCTTGGAAACATGACCACAAGCTAAAGAGGCAAATGTGTTGTTTCAGTGGCCCACTGGCGTCTTTACTGGTTTAAGAATGACTCAATTTAAAAAGGAAAGAGGACACCTTCAAACTGTATAAACATTCAACATAATGGCATATCAGGTTTATGACCTTGTATGAGCCAGTAAATGGAGGCCTACTCTATTCATTTTTGTAATCCAACACCTTTTTGGAGCAATAAAAAATCTAATGAGTCAGAATTTTAAATACTTTTCTACATAAATTTAGAAGAGCAGAAGTTTTGATTTGCCGTAACATTCAAGTCTACCGAGGCACCTTCAGTCCCTCTGTACATTTAAGTCCATTATGATAATCTGTGCAGTTAAAGCTACTATAAGAAATTTCTAAACAGTGATTAAGCTGACGGAAATTTACAGTGATGCTTTAATATGACCTGTGAAAGCAAACAAAAGCATCAGCAACAAAACTGACAATGTCTTCATTTTAAAGTCTGACACGTTTAATCACTGCTACGGGTTCCACAGACAGATGTGCCGCCAAGCAACAGCTTACTAAGCCTTTCTGAGGTTGATTTACTGCTCATTTTGATATATATGATTTTTTGTAATTCTTTCTTAGACGAGTAGCCTTCAGAATTAAAGGGTTTCTTATTTCTCTCACCCTATTGTGTTTAATAAGTACAATTATGCTGCTTTTTCCCCCTGTGGCCTAAAGACACAGGTAACAGCCAAAACTCCAGCTGTGAATGACATTAATCAAATATTTATTGCCGTTTAGATATTTATCCTCAGTAATTGATTTGACATATATGGTCGTGGTGTTTTATTTTGAAATTGGGGGTGCCAGTTGGAACAGAGGTTTAAATGTGGACTCCATACACAGAGCCAATGCTACTCAATGAAGAAGCTGCTGGTTCGACCCCTACCTCTGAGGTATCAAAAATGACGGTATAAAAATGATCTGTCTTGGTGGTGATGGTCTTGTTTGCTTTTATGTGTCACAAAATGGCAATGATACAAATTTCAGTCAATTTCAAAAATGTCCAAAAAAAAACTGACAGGAGCTTTAAAGTCTAAATAGACCAATTCAATTTATCACATTTATAAATCAGCCCATATATACAGAGCAAAAGCTGTTTTTGAAAAGGCAAACCTCCATTAATAAGAGTAAGTCCATTATAACATTATGCCTAAGTATTTAAAAGCTTCATTTCTTCCCTCTGCAGCTTTACTCCAGCCCAAACACAGTCACAGAATTGTCACATGTCATTGAAAATGTAAAAAAATTCAAACATCTTGAATGACTTTTTGTTCAACGCTGGCTGTTTCTCAGGAAAAGATGCTCCTTGACTTCATTACGAACATATTCCTCCACCAGGAGGGGCATGCAGCTAATGTCAGAGCCATGCTAAGAAATTGCATGTGTCCTACCACAAGAATGTAGGCTCTGAGTTTTAAGAAGCCATTCCCTCTGCCGCTGCTCTTTATAGCAGCAGTCTGGCTCCACAGCCAAGAGCCAAAAGCTCGCTCTGCCTCTCTCTCCATGAAAAGTAAATCGCTTCAATCTGCCACTACTGAAGTCATCGCAGTTGTTTACTAAAAAGGCCTTTTATTCTGCTGTCGTGAGATGTTGCAATGAAAATGATTAAGAGTGCATTGAGCTGAGGCACTAAAACTATAGACTAATTACTCCTGACAGGTAGTAATTTCTTCCCTCGTGTACTCACCACCTCTGTGTTGGTGATCTTAGCCAGCAGGTCCGTCAGGTTATCTCGACTCAGCCTCTGGTCAGTGTGGTCCAGCTGCAGGCCGCAGACAGCAGCTCCCATGCTGCCTGTGGCGATCATGGAAGGAGGGTTCATAGCAAGGCGGTCATCTGTTGAGCGAAGAGGGAAAAAACTATTAATGTGCAATTAGTCAAGCAGCAGCTTTAGGCCATCGTGGTGAGCGGAAATCATATTTGTAGCTGTAACGTCTTAAAACAGACCAGAGGAAGTATGAGAGAGGAAAACATCTCATTCTCTCCCACGTGTGTCCTCCTCAGCTGTACCTCACCTTCCCACAGTCTGGGATTGCAACAGACATGGCTGCACTGTGTAACCTGCGTGGTTTCCTACATAGAAAATTCGGCTCTGATTAGAAAAGCAGAGAAGGAATCCTCCTACTCCCTCAGTGAGTTCCAGGAAATCCCCCCCATTACATATCCAAGTCTAAAAACTTAAGCGACAACAGGCCTGGATAGAGGAGGCGGAAGAGGAGACGACACCTCCTCACTGCAGAAATTAAGCTGCTCAAATCCAGCTCATAATGTGACCGTGAATAAAACCTCCTATCAGCCTATACAGATATATTTTTTAAACCGGAAAACCCTGGAGCAGTACTCCAGAGTATCTCGTCTGATCAGCAGGAGTCTTTCTAAATGATACCTACTGTTCCCAGCTATAAGCTTCCCTCGAAAACATTTATTCAGACACTTCAACAGAGCATATGAGACGACTCATAATGATACAGGGGGCGTGGTTGACCCCACCTCTCAGGCTAAAATCTTAAATGAACCACTTCAGAGGCGGTGTGCATCTGTACATTATCATTACGCATAAATCAACAGGATGTTATCAGCCTGTGATTGATCATTACACAAGTCTAATAAGGCTAGAGGTGTTCACATACTTAGAGCTGCTTTTGGACACTTGATGGACTTAAAATGAAATGTTATCCAAAGTGAGCCATTACTCCATATCATGAATGATCAACCAAGAAAACACATGATTGGTTGGACCACTAAGAGTATAACAAGAAGGGCGACGCAGCAGCTCCGCTAAAGTGATGCCAAATCGCGCAGCACTCCCCCTGGTGACTGGCTGTGGTACAAAAGAGGGGCTGCAGCAGCAACAACAACAACAACAACGACAGCAACAACAACAACATGAAAACTTCACATTTTGACGCAACAACAGCAGCTGAACATAACTCTAACATTACTGCACCTTTGTACTTCGACATTACACCCCCAAAACAGTACAAGTTATTAGGATTTCATATTTCAGCCCACCTGTTGATTCCTTCGCAGACGGGTTAAGTGATATGCAAGAGCCACAGGTTTTCATTTTCGACATTTGAACCAGAGACGGGGACTTCAGTCTGAGACTTGGACTCAAGTCCTACTTCAGTCACACACTAGTGTGACATCAGACTTGACTTGGACCTGAGCCTCAGTTTTCAGGACCTCAGTTTTTTTTCCACATGTTCAAGACCACTTTCCAAGATCAATCAATGATCACATCTTATTCCTAACACCTGTACGTTGCAAAAAGCATTTACAAGTCTAGGACTTTTACTTTTTATTCTCTTGTTTTTTTTTTTTAATCATCTGAAGCACAGATGATCCTGCCACTTTGAATGCCTACAAACAAGAGAAACTTTATGACTGTCTCCATTAGCCGGTTTGAAATGTGTCCCACTTTCTACATGTTTAAGAAATAAAGCATCCCTCTCTTCTCTTTGATAACCTCCCGCTCTTTACGACATGTTGCAGACAATATATTGAGAGAAACTTTCCATTTGTGCACAATCCAACCCTTACAGGGTTGTTTCTGTTTGTTTGGTATGCTCATAAGATTGCGCATAATCAAAATATGCTCTCAAAAGTTCATTTACTTTGTGTTGTCCAGAAGTCTGAGGCAACCAGAGACAGCTGCTTGATTTTTAAAGAGGTTTTAGTGACTAATTCTGCAAAAATGCAAGAATCCTGAAGTCAGGAGATTCTCCAAACTTGGCTCATTAGGACAAGGAGATACTTTAAGGATGTTTCGTGAATGCAGCCCCTGGAGGTTTTTCCATTCATACAATACACAAGCTTCTTCCGGTCTCAGCACATGAACATGACCAATCTAATCTCAAAGAGGCCGAGACTTGGCACATGCATTTGTTGAGCACTGCAAAGGTCCAACCCAGCACAAAGTCCTATCCCAGTAAAACCAGTCATGGTGGCCTGATAGCTTTGACTGAACGCTGGGGAGCCGCCTGCTTCACTACGCCCATCTTCTCCTTCAGGGAGCAGCTGTCCATAGGAGGAGCTCCTCCATCATAAGAATAACATCTCGACTCCATATAAAACTCCAAACATTTACATTACTGCACAACCACAGCAGGACTTGCTTTTTTCTCCCACTGCGGCTGCTTTGTGCTCGGGTAGAACCAGCTGCTTATGAATAGCAGAGGCGACCACTGAAACACACCCAAATTTAAAAAAATAAAAAGTCTGACACTTAAACTGAACTAACTGTGGCAAGAAACTCATTGAAGGAGGAGCCTTGGGTTTCAATAACCAGCTCTAGTAAACAAGTGCTTCATGTCCTGACTGGATGGCAGTCGTGTTAGTGTACTAAAGTGAACTCTGTTCCCTCAACTAACTTAGTTTGAAGATGAAAGGCGGCCCAGTGACAAGGCAGTGCTGTGTTTCATGTGTATTACGTGGTCTTCAATCTGTGTTTCTGTCCAGGATATGAAAATATTAGAGGGATCCCAAGTATAGGCAGAGGAATGCCTTGAAAATTCACCTAAGGAGAGGCCTGAGGGGACATCTGAGTTTGTGCTTCTCCAGAGCCTCTGGTTTATTTTGGACATGAGGCCAAGATGGGAGGAGGAAGGAAGATCATTGGATCACTGCCCTGACTTTTTAAAACCTGGAAGCTTCTCTGTCAACAAACAATACAGGGCGAGGAGAGAGGGAGCTCAGCTGCACCTGAGTCATGTGTTAATGAAGCACAAGATACAGAATGATACAATCGCTATCGTTAACAGTGTATGTGGGTTATCTAAACACAGCTCTGATAGGCGTTTTCCCAGGAACTTAGCAGAGAAGTATGGAAATCACCACTTCAAGCAGCTGTGGGGGGAAAAAAAGCTTGCAACAAGCTGTGGAGAGACTAGAGAGTGGATAAGCAGTCAGCGGAGTATGAAGGGAGAGGAAAGAGGTCACAGATGACTCACGATGGGAGAATGTTTGTGTGTGTGGGAATATTCCAGCGTAAAGCAGCAAAGAGAGAAGAATCAGGTAAAAACAGCCACATGAAAGGGACCGCCGCCGCGTTACCTGTGGCACAGAGGGCGATGAATGTCTGCGTGTGCTTCCGGACCATCCCCAGCTTGTCTTTGGGAAGGGGCAGCCTGCGTATGATGTGCTCTATAAAATCATTGGGGATGACTGAGGCCATGTTCCACTTCAACTTCCCCAGCACGACTAGTTCCCACTCCTAAAAGAGATAAAAAATATTATTAAAGAAGGCAGAACACAGCCTACTGAGTCAAGAGGGTTAAATGGCGTGCTGCCATGCCTCCATTAACCGTGAAAGAGATCACAGCCTGTCCCTTTTCCCAGAGGAAATGGCACCGCAAGAAGAGTAACATTTCTCCACTTTATCTCCCCTCGCTGTATCTTATTATCTGCATGCCTTTCTCATTCCTTGCATCCTTTGTATTCATATCGCCAACATGTGACAAGCTTTGCCCCGCTCAGAAGCCCTGCCAATGAGACAGCAAGCCCCTTTCCTTCCTGTCACAAGCCTCAAACAGCTCCAGCGAGCTTGCAACTTGCAGCGGCAGCACAGAGCCGAGGCTTCATGCAGTCAGCTTGTGCACAAGCAAGGGAGGTGGACGCATTTCATGATTTAATTTCCTGTGTAGCTGAGTCAATTTTTTTTTTTTCACCAATTCCTCTAAAGGTTTAATGTTTTCCTGTTTGGCCTGCAGTACTCTGAGTAAGAATAGCAAGAAAGAGGATGTTACTTATCGCAAGATAAAGGGGTAGCTGCCTGCACACATGAAAACTGCTATATAGATTCTTGTGTTTTAAGACGTGCAAGTTAAAAAATGACTCCAGCAGCAGCTTTCAAACTCTCAACTAGTCAAATAAAATCATTAAAGGTTGATAGGAAAAACACAAGATCTGCTATTAAAGCTGTCGCTATGAAGTGAGATTGAATGTAACAGTTTTTTCACATTTAAAAATATATTGACATTATGCTAAAATTAAGAACAAGGTAACACGGTGTAGCTAAGGTTCATGCTCTGGGGAGATTGCGGCTCTTTACCAGCCATAAAACAGAGAAGCAGCAGCAGCAGAAACCAGCTAGCTAGCTGGCGCAGCCGTCCTAAAGATGGTCGAACAAGATTAACTGTGACTCTTGAAACAAGACAAGAGCTTGTACCTCTTAAGGTGTGCTAATGTATTCTACCAGAAGTAAAGTAAATGTCTCTTCAAAATAAAAGCATGTTTCAACAACAGCGCCATTAAGCAACCACACTGAAAGTAAAGCAAGGCATTAAAAATGTCAAAATAAAAGCACCACAATTGCCTGTTTTTAGGGTGATCTCTTTTTCAAAGGTTGGCACTTGGGATGCACAATATTGGATAAATACCAATATCCTATTTGCAGATATTTTCAAAATTACTGATACTGATTCATACTCACCTTTTGATTGTACCTTTTTAAACACAGTTTGTGAGTTATCTATTTAAAACCAGACATAAACAAGACACACAGCATTTTACTCTACTCTATGATAAATTTCATTTTTTAATATACAGGGTTAAGCAAAGCATCTGTTGTTTGTTTCCAGCACTATCAATCACTTGATATTAGGACAGTCCTTATCCAAACCAGTCAGCATCTCCATGGAGACTTTCTTTGTTCCCAAACAATTAAAGTAAGCACTAACACCATTTTCAGGGATAAGAGTCCAAATTTCTGCCTCAGTGTTTGAGGAACTTGTCTTCTTATGCAAACCTTCAAATGCATGAATACACACAAGTCTTTACCCAAACTAAACTCTTCAATCAGGGTACAAAAGACTCATCTCTGTCTGCCATAATCATTTTCATCACTTCAGTCTTGATTATGTGAAAAAAAAAATCTGTGCTGTTTTATTTTTTTTAATAGCAGTATTTCTGGACATGTTTGATCTTGATAAAACTGTTATAAAGTGGTCTATTGTAACTGCAGTCAATGAAAAAGAAGATCATGATGTCAAACGACACATGACTAGATCTGACACCTTCAGGCAAAACTAAAATTACATCTGAGTATCATTTCCTGCGAGAGTCGCTCTGATCCTCAGAAAAAGCCTTTTAAAGATGACATCACTGTGACATTATGGGGTGAAGATTAATGCTGTACGGTCTTTGATTTGGCAGATATACAGTAAAAAATACAAGAAGAAGAGTTACTTTAAAGACTGACAGGTGGCATTTCAGTAGGAATGCTAAATATATATTTATTACTAATCATATACAAAAATTTTATCAGGTAATGACATTTAATAAAAGCCTCTTTTGTTTACTCATTACTAAGCCTACACATCTATATATTCTACACTGTATCAGAGGAGGATAACAGCAGCACCATTTGTAAACATGGTAATCCAAGAGAATGAAATAAGCCCTCGGGTTATGACAAAACAATTCCTGTAAGTCACCTGAAAATTTGTCATCCCAGCATTGATTTATCCAAGAAATCTAAAACAGCATTGGCCCAAGCTAGTATTAGTGCCAATAAAATGGCGAGTGATGATTAAAGAGCCGCAGAGAGTTCAGAAGAGACAACTTAAAGCTGAGGCCATCACTGCAAGATCATTGAATTTACAGTACTTGATGACCAACATTTCTCCTGAGGTGATGGAACGAGGATTTTAAACACACGTATCCCTACTGATCCCGAGACACCCTAACAGTCTGATTGAAAATAAACATCTGTGACTTAGGTTTTAACACAAATATAGGGACTCAAGGGAGTATTAAGAGTGGGACAGGCCATCCCAGAGCTCTCACAATATCAAATTTTCATTCACGATGATCGTGGCCATAAAATATCTTTATAACAGTATCTCTGCGATAACGATAACTTAATAAAGATGTCATCATGATAATATCTTCATGATAGTAATGGAAAACTTAAAGAGAAAACCCAATCAGTCAAATCAAAGAAAGGCAGGACAAGGGTAAAGCAACATATCACCCCATAAAATTAACTGATAATAACAATCAACTTAGATATCATCATCCATTTCTGATAATATTCAAATTTGTGAATCATCCCCAGCCCTGTTGTTTTGATATTTTTTCTGTCTTGCTCTTAGGTTTCTTTCCTGGGTCTATGCTTTTATTGTGGTAGATCGTAAGTTACAGAGCGATTTGGAAGTTAACTGTTCAACTGATAAGAAGCTGGACATTGTTTTTGATTTCACATACAATCTTGACCATCATTTTCGAAAGTGAAAAACCATCTTTCCAAAGGCTGCTATTTTTAGTTCGCTGGCAATCTGCTACTTCTTCTTTGTCAATCCTTCATTTTATTATGTGGCAATTGGCAGAAAGGATCACTTCAACAAAATCATGGTATTATTATACTCTTATTTTTATCACAGTATTAATACTTTGAGGAACAATTCTTAATTTGGGCCCTAATCGACACTTCTTAAAAAACAAAAATGCAAAAGAAACCTAGCTATCAGCTGTTAGGAGCAGGTTGTTATCAGTTATCAGTATCGGCTCAGAAAAGTTCATATCATGGATTCCAAAGTCTAAAGAGCTATCAACAGCCAGAAAAGACAGCTGACTGGTTAACTAAAAGTGAGAGACAGTCACGCTCAGATGAATAAATGCTGATGATTTCAACATTTGGTTTCCTCTTAAGAGAAGTGTTGACAAAAAAAGCAAATGTAGTAAACGCCAAAACCAAAAATCACTCTGGGACAGTCCCTCAACCTCGCTAAAAATGTTCACAGCCTGCTACACACACTCCTGTGTTTCACTTTTTCTTGCTGCAGAGATTGTTGACTGTGAGAAGAACAAGGTGTCGCTGCATGCTCTTGCTTCCTGTACATCTGCCCCCCTCCTCCCTCCCTCCCTTCCCCCCACCCTCTTAAAACTTCATTACAAGGAAGAGCTGCGACATCTTTCACTGCCCCTTGCTGACTTCTGGGAGCATCCTGTCAGGATATCCAGGAATCTGGAGTCTTATGTCAATATGGAGCATCAAATGGGAACTGAAAGTCATTTCCCTCAGCAGCTGCAGGAGACACAGGAGGTTGTACAGAGAGCATGTGGAGCTGTGAGGCTGAGAGAAGAAACAGATCTTACCTCAAACTATAAAATGGACGATAACTAACACAACAAGCTGAGTGACAGATAAGTCCATCGACAGGACTTTTTTTGAGGCTTGAGCCAAGAATAATTTACTTTTCTGCAAAGGCAACATTAAGTATTTATTTCCTGATTTCTTTACTTTTCTGATTTACAGCTCAAGATATAAAGTAAACACACATAGAGGGAAAAGAACAACAAATTCTCTTGTCATAGTGCCTAAAATAAAGATTTAAATTTTAAAGATTAAAGATTTAATTCGAAAGACTTGTTTTGATGCCGATTAACTTTATCATTGAGCTCTACTTTTTGTAAACTTGTTCCTACCAATCTGCAGATTGATTACAACTGAGCAAACATGGCTGAATGACATTTGATATAGCAGAAGGTTTCACTTAGGACCTTTAGAAGAGATGATTTCTGGACAAAACAAGCTGCTTCTAGACATAAGAAAACAGAATATAGTACAAATTTGATCTTTTTCTTGAACTTGAAAATAGAGTCTACTTTGCTCTAAAACACAGCAACTCAAAGTTGCTGAGTCTCTGGCTCACTGGTCTTCAGGTTTGTTTAATAAGCTGCATGTAAGCAGGAAAGAATTAAAAGTATTCTTGTAAATGCCACAAAGAGATATACTTGTCTTGTAAAATGCTTATATAGCTGTAGGAAGGAAAGATTAAAGAGCATTTAAGCTGCTGTTTCTTTCAGTAAAAGCTTTTCTATGACTAAATAAAACGGAGCAAATCCATGTAGTGCAAGATATCCCAAATCTGTACTGCATAACTGGCACTAGATGGCATCACTCCCTCCCTCAGTCCACATGGATCCAAAGAAAGGATGTGGCTGTGTTGTGCACACTTACAAGGAAAATGAGATACTTCCTGTGGAACCAATACAGCCATTAGCGTTATAAAATCATCCCAAAATATGACATAGCGTTTGTGCGCTCTCACGAATGAATGGGGGCTTTGGAAATCCCAGCTCTTACCAGGAGTTCCCGTGGTGTGATGGAGTTGTCTGTGTACATGCAAAGTTTTTCTGCTGATAGCGGCCTGCAGTCCTTTAACTTTGAAGCCAGAAAAATGCACACAGCTCCCAGGAGCTGCAGATAGTTCTTTCTTGTGACAACCACTGCTAAAAACCGGTCCAAGTAATTAATGGCTAAAGGGAAGACGTCTTCATTACTCTTCTCTTCTTCACACACCTAAAATGACACAGAGAGGTAACAGAGAAACACATTAGGGTTCTGTACTATAACCAGGACTTTAAGACAGTTTCCATCTGACACAACAGAGTCAAAGATAGTCTGAGTGCTTGACCGCATCATCTATTCCTTTATTTAATTTATGGACATTCTCTTTTTAAGCTGTATCTGTATGTTTCTCCATGATTGCATTTCAGTTTTTCCATCTATGTTACGGATGAAGTTTTAGGTAAATTAAGTTATTTGAGTTGTACGGAAACCTTGAGTGGACATGCATCCATTAGAAGGATACAAAGCAACTATTATCAAGTGTGGCTAACATTAGCAGAGCTAGCACCACCTGCCTTGATGTTGTTAGTTATCTTAGTTTGTTTACACCCAATTAGAAGTGTATCATAGCTTTGTGGCAGTCAACATTATTAACCTGAGGTACAGCCATGTCTAGCTTAAGTTACAGCTTTAACATAAAACTTGAACTGCATTCCAACAACATTTGTTGAACCCATAGACTGTATATACTATGGACAACTTGGTTCCGCCTCCTGTCTGTATACAGATTTGAAGCCAAAAAGCTCTGGGTATTTCCGCGATTTTTCTTCATTTCCTTAAAACAGCATTGCACTGTAGCGTTGTGCACATTCGGCGACGAAGTCACCAAGAGTCGCTGTGATGACGCTCGGCTCAAACAGCGTATCCCCCAGGTGAGCTAGTTGTTCCGTTGTGTTCTCAAGATCTCTTTATAATGTCAAACGATCATGAACTGTGCTCAAGGTCACTAAAGCACCAAACAATTTTATAAAACGCTATTACTGTTAATATTCCTACATGTAATTGGAAGTAGAACTAAATTTAGTATGTTATTTTAGTGTTAATGCAGATAGAACAGTCGCCTTACAAATATCTATTTACCTGGCTACCTGGAAGTCTATCTAGTTTTTGATTGGTTGGCTGGATATGCAACATGTGCACCTTGTTGAGCAGTACAGGTAGGTGGCCAAATCAGGTAATGAATAAACACTAAGTGTAGCATTTCTCTCCGTGCTCATTACACTTATGGGAACAGCTGTATGATTGCTAGCCATAACGGACTAACATAGCATGTGAGCTAATCACTGCTAGCCGGCTAACATGCATATCGCCTTATAGTTTCTTCACTTTATGCATTTGACTAAATATAGACCTAGTGAAGATGACTAATAGGTTTATGCTAAAATTGTAGCTTTAATTTCAACTCTTTTTTTCCCCTTTTTTTTTTTTGAGGTTGTGGGGGCGGGGGATATACCTTAGTAATAAAAAGTAACCAGATCATGCCTGTTCAAGATCTTGCCAAAGCAATTCGAAATGACTTAATATCACATAAAAACAGTATAGATTCAATGTATGGAGGCATAACCCTTCAAGGCTTCAGTAGAATTGCATGTAAGAGTAGCTTAAATGTTCATTAAAGAAAACCAGACCTTTTCATTAAGCTTCAAAGCAAAATACTAAAAAAGAAAATCAATATGGGGGTGAGTTCAGCTTGACTTCTCTGTGTTAAAGGTTGAAAACTTTTCTTTCACATGTCTTCAATCAGTCAATGCAGAGGGGAAACTAATTAGTTCAGTCGGAAGTCCCTCTTGCAAGCAGGCTCCTCTTCCTTGTGGGGGCTTTACCGACTTTAAAAATAATTTTAAGATAAAACTTAACATCAAGAAAGGTTTAGAATGAGTGCATAATGTCTGAATTCTCTGTACTATTAGTTCCTGACATTGTAAAGGGGTTTATTTGGCTAAAATCACGGTTTAACCTCAGTAATGAAAGTAGTTTTTGCATGCACGTTGCCCGACCAAAGACAGCGAGCATGACTCCCTTAAAAAAATTAATATAAATTATTTTAAAGCAGGAATATCGAGTTTTCGATCATGTAAATTAAGATTACCTCCTCCTCTATCACTTGGGTGAGCTGTTTAGTGTAAATATCAAGTGTGCTGCGGTAAATGATTGAAAATATCAAGCTAAGCTGTTTTCTTTGAAGCGAAGTTTTCTTCGTGCTGGAATTTCCGACTCTCCCACGCCTTTGGTGAGTCACTCTCATTCAATTGTCAAATAGGTCAACATCCATGACAACTCTCCATGAACTTACAGAACCAAGCTTTTTTTGGCAAATAAAAAATAAAGGATTTACACATGCAAAACTGTCTTACATAGCTTTTACATTGAAGTTAGCTCATGAAGTGCTCACAAACCTCGTGCATCCAACCTGCAAGCATCCGTCTCATATAAGGCTGGATATCCTTCTGGACACGCTGGAAATACGAGCACTGAGGTAAAAATCTGTCCTCAATAGTTAATAAACTTTGCAGCACTCTGTCATCATAGAGGATGTTTGGGTCAGGCTGGGCTTTCACGGCTATGTCCGACTCCAGGCAATAAAGCTCCATGACTCGGCCCACCTTCTCCCCCTCCTCTCCTTTTTTATTATTTCTTATATCTTTGGTTTAATATTAAAAATAAATATTGTCACAATATTCTAGACAGCGGACAGGAGGAGGAGAAGTGCCCTGTGTGAAGCATGAGGCTGAGACTGCTGGGTTTGCTCCAGTCCTGCTGCCTCTCGCTTTGCTTCTTCTTCTTCTACGCTGTAATAAAAAAACGGAACAAAGTGAGGAGGACAACATCCGCCGACCCCTTTCAAATTAAAAGCCGCTCAGTCATAGAACAGCCTCATGGAGTTACTTTCTTTTCAAGGAACTGTTTGTTTGATTTCCGGCTTTTTTTATTCTGCAGCATTTTTTGACAACACTCCGAAAGAGGCGAACACGCCGACAATGACGTAAGAAACAGGGCTGAAACTTAAGGAAATTACAAAAATGTGCACGGTCAAACACCCTTATGTTTCAAGAATTTAACACCTATGTAATATTAAAAAGTGTTTGTGATTTTACAACGATATTTTGCTGTTGCAACTCCGTTTCTGTTTGTGTTTTCAAGTAATTTTTATGCTATTTATCGAAATTTTGTTAGTTTTATATTTTTGCTCAGCTCTCGTTTCATCTGTTATTTGAATGATTACTAAAGAATAAAGTTTGAAAGAAAGTGAGCCTTTGATAACAAATTTCATAACTTTGAACAAAGATATGTTGTTATGTCTGCAGCTCAGAACAAAAACATAGTTTTTTTGAAAACTAAGCTGACTTTTTAATTTATAAAAGTTCAATTTAAAAAAGAAAAACTCAATTCATATAGATGAACCACAATACAAATAACTGTTTACCACTATTGAAATAAAACTTCACAGACTTTTGGCATTTGTTAAATTATAAAAGTCTAAAATGGTCCTTGATTATTATCAAAATGTTTTGATTATATTCTTATTTTCTGTTTTAGTTTCTTACATATGTGTACGTTTGTTAACTCATGAAAATACTAAAATATAATTGTGTATTTCAAAAACTGTTCTTGTAATGCCCTGCAATGAAAATACTTTTGCTCAAAGACAAATTAGAAAAGGTATCCAAATTAAATTCATAGTTTAAGTTCATAGTTAAATGGAGGATTATAGCTTTTTTTGTGATCACAGAAATCAACACGAGAAAAATGAGAAAAGAATAATTAAGCACCAAAAAAATAAAACATAAAACATTATGTATTGAGATGCAGGAAAACTTGTATCTTTAAAAAGATAATATTATGTATGTCACATTTATTAGTTTTATGACGGGATAAATTTCAACAATACGTCAAATTTGCATTTGTTATATTCATTCAACCTTTTTAATCTGTAGACTAACTGAGAAAAACAACTGTTTGGCTGTAACAAAAATAATACTACGCCACATTTTCAACACAATGTAAGTTTAAAAGACAAAAAGATTTTTATGACACTGGTTAAAACGATTAATCAATAATAAGCTATTATATTGAAATGCTTTTAAACTTAGATTAAAATACATCTCATAAAGATTTTGTCATCAAAAAGGCCTGCTATGAAAATTTTAAAAAGAAGAATGAATCAAAGATGATTTAACTTTTTAACAAAACTAGGGTCAAACAGAATGAACAAAAGAAAGAAAGAAAGAAAGAAAGAAAGAAAGAAAGAAAGAAAGAAAGAAAGAAACTAAAACATATATATGAAAATGTTTTGTAAAAGTTGGTTATATCTTTACATTTCATGATACAAGGAGACAGACCAAAGTTATGAGAAATAAAAATTATATGCACAAGACAGAGCAGTGAAAATCAACATGAACATGCAGGTCTATAAAAACTAGTAAAATGCTAAAGTGCACAAATGATAAACAGTTAAGACAATTACGGTAAAAAATTAATAAAGAAAAACAGAACATTGCAATTTCTACCTTCAGGACATGCTAACAAAACTGAAACAGGGAGTGCAGCCTATAGAGGACAAAAACCTCTTCTTAATTTGTACCTTATCTGCTGCTAGTTTACAGACTAACAGCTACAGTTAAGACAAGCAACTCAGTGTTCATTTCTCTAGCGCAGCACGAATTTCTCTTAACCAGCTAATACTTTGCTTATAATGGTTGATTTTGTATTATTTCTGTACGATGGTATTTTTTCCTCATAATGTTACAGTCTTTTCAAAACATTTAAGATGAGCAACTTATCCCTGAAGACTAACTGACGGAATAATTTAAGATAACACAACAGCTGGTGAAAATTGGAAACAACCTTGAAGTTTAGCTGGTGAGATGTCTCTCATTTAGCTATCTGCAGAGTGAGGTTACAATATTTTTGGGAGGTCTAACTTTTAATTTATTTCACCCAAATTTTTTTTTGTGAGTAATAAGATACAGTAATCATTTCTCTGAACGATATTCAACACTTCAGCTATCAAAAATCTAGATTATACTGTGCGAATCAGTCAGAAAGGGTCTCTTGTCATTGTTGTTTTTCCTCGTTTTGCGTCTGACCGCAGGTTGAGCTAATAATAATGTTTCTTTTAATCAGCAGCCTACATTACCTGCCTCTGAGACTTGAGTTTTAATCATTTCATATTCCTGCCATGAGCTGGATCTTTGGGGGTTCGTGTGATGCTGCAGACATCCTTATCCAGAGGGTGTGGACGGCATGTTGATCCCTTTCCAGGGAAAAGTTTTTTCCATAAAGGACTTCCTTTGGTGTGATGGCATGCCAGAGGATGAGAGTATGAGGATGAATGAGTAAATCTGCAGAGAGTGCTTGTAGTGTCTACAGGATGTCCAAAAGTGTGTTTTTTTGTCCTTATACGAGAAGTCATCTGAAAAAAAGTGGAATTATAGAAGGGGAGGAAGAGGAAGTCATGAGTTTGTCAACAGCCTGTCGCTCCTGATGTCTGAAGGCCATTTCTGTTCTGTCAGTTTTCTCAGTGCAGCTATAAGTGCTTAACTCTCATCAACGGTTTCAGAGCGAGAAAGGAAACAGCTTCACATCATCTGTGAGCATATAAGACAAGGGTTGAACTGAGTATCCTCACACTGAAGCGACTCCACAAACGTCCTCCTTTCTCCTCAGCCACCACCACCACCACTACCAGAGAGCTGAATGTGATATGGAGTTTCATTGAGAGAAAAAAAAGAGCACTGTGAAGCTATTATGAGACCAGACTGTGAAGTGAGAGTGGGAGCTGTCTCAGAGGGAATGTCAAGGTTAGCAAGATTAGTTCTCCTTCAAAGGACGGGGGTTGTATGTTTGAGAGGATTCACCTTCAAATTGAGATTTCATGTCAGAAGGTTATCCCTTTGTCTGATCATGGAGAGGCGGAGAAATCTCCAGGTCAGCGTGTTTTTGTCCAAAGGAGGTCCAACCGCGAGAGGCCAAAGAAGCCGACCTACCAGACAGTCAAAGACTGACACTTGAGGGAAACAGAGGTGTTGGACAGATAAAGCAGCCTTACCCTGCCGCTGCTGTTAGTGCGTGTGTCCTATGATAACACATGTCAGCCGGTATCACACACTGTGGGCTGCACAGAGGTAAAAGAGAGCGCCCAAAGCCCTGGGAAAACGTGGAGGAGCGTGAAATCACCTTGATCCAAAGATTCCTGCTGCATACCAGTCCACTGAACCCACCAGAGCACAGGGGCCCGGAGATGGGCAGCCTGCCATAGATCAAGAGAAAGAGACAAAGGGAGAAGAGGTGGAGGGCGACAGTCGAGATCTTTAATCCAGGGGATCGGTTTAAAGCTTAACATCATCTTATGTATTTCCTGTGCAAGATCAAGTAAGTCGCTCCATGAGGGAGGCCTCTTTTCGGATATAAACAGAGGATTTACTTGAACATACCAGTATCAGGGCCAAGCTTGATTACAGGTTGCCCATGTGCTCTGAGTCAAGCTGGCTGTTTGGGTTTACTGACAGTAGAGAAGAGGATGCTATGGCTGGAATGCTGTGGTGTGAACGGTGGTGAACACTCCTCCCAGTGCTGAGTGATAGCTGGTGTAGCTCAGGCAGCGGGGGAGATAAGTTGGCTTCTATGTGTCACATGGTTACATACTATATGCCTCCACATCAACTGATTACACCCCCCTGGAAGCGCACTAAACACCATTCCCAAACATGAAAAGTAGGCGACATACATGTTCACGGGTAGTCGCATGTTTGCGCTCTTTCACATGCTATTTTTGTCAGGTTATCAGCAGTGTGGAGCACGCCGCTCTATTGCGATTGCCACACATCAAAGCCGTCCAGTCATTGCCACTCATTGCAGTGAGGCAGAGAGGAGGGTCAGAGGGAAGGTGCTTTCCAGAAGAAAACATGTGCAGCATCTGAGATACAACAGCCTCTGTGGTTCTCTCTTCCCAGCATCTCATAATTATATTTTTTAGGATGTGTAAATCCTACTCCCTTTATGCTTGAGTAACTCCCATCATCAATCCTCCAGATGTGATCGGAGGCCATGTGGTGCAACCAGCTAATTTGCACCAAACTACGCAGCTAGATTAGGAAACAAACGGACCGACGTCAAATCAGCGCAAGAGAAAAAGGGTGTTTTCCACACTGCGTCTTAGGAATGTTTTGGCTAAACTGAAAGCAATCATTCAAACCCAAATGCCAACAATCGGGGAAACAATGACAGGACAGATAGCAGCATCCGGGCCTGGCTTAAAGTCGTCTGGGTCGTGAACACAAGAGGGTTTCTTTTCTACAGATACAGCCCCGGTCACTGCTGCATATCCCCCTTCCGCTAATAAGTCTGTGCACAATTCTGACGTTCAGCAGCTTGCATCCCTCACTCAGAGCTTTGGAGAACATTGCCCTATTCTCCAGAGCACACTCAGGAGTAAGATCAGATTGAGGAGGAGAGAGGAAGAGAGGAGGTTTAAAGAAAAAGAGGTCCTATGAGGTGGTAGACGAAAGCGCTGGAGCTTAACATTTTCCATGGTGGAGAATAAGAGGCTCAAAATCAACGCAATGTGTCTGTTTTTGGTGAAGATTCTGTCAATAATTGGGAAAAACTACATAGGTAGCTGAAATCTGGGCCAAATCTGAAGTTAAAATAACGTATACAATTGGATATTAGCTAGCACTGGAAACAGCATGTTGACCTGCATCAAATCAGGACAAATTCTTAATAAGAAACATAATAAGATTGAGCTCATTCAATTGTTTTACCCATGTAACTATTAGCTCTTTGATATCTAT